AGCGTGGATACGCAAACTAGACTCTTCCTCATGTGCTGAATCACTGTCGTCCAGTCATGAATATCATCAAGGAGCGGCATGATTCGGTGCAAAAAGAGATCTTGGATCACCTACTTCCAGCCAGGTTTTCTAGGTGCGATGTCGACGTAGTTTGTTGGGAGCACGCCGCTAGAACAGCTGATAAGCTGCGGCTCGATTTGATTTTCGAGGAAATTGGATCGAATCGTGTCGTAGTACTCGATGTGGCGTGCCCATGGCGTGACAACGGGGAGGACGCTATAGCTGACGCGGCCCGTCGGAAGCACTCAAAGTATGAAGAGTTATGTCGCTCCATTGCTCTTGCCTCTGGCAAAATCGTGGAGTGCCATGCACTAGTGGTTTCTCTAGGTAGTTTGAGCCATTTTCTCGGAATATTTTGTTTGTATTTCACCTTTCCCCACCACTTGCTCACGCTCGGCGATGGGCTTGGGCCAACATGCCATATATATATATATATATTAGTGTATACCGCTTGCCTTAGTTATCCCAATTTTAATTTGCAGTTATTGCGCACTTTTCCACGGTTCATTAGTTCGTTCGTTTCCTCCTTTTTAATCTGATAATTTATCAAACTTTTCCACATAATTGATTCAGAATTTCACCCCGGTTGATAGAAAAAGGCGAGCGGTAAATATAATTCTGTTAGATTTTTCCATGTTTAGAACCCATCGCCGAGTTTGCCAGTCCCTCGCCACTACTTTATATTTGTTTTTTGCTTAAGATTTTCTTTCCTATGTTCTTTGAGGGGGGCTGGCTCAGTTAGATAAGCCGTACTCATTCTTTATATTGACTTGTTATTCTTTACATTTTCAATTTAATTTTTGTTATGGTTGAATTCTTACTTATATTTATTTATAAATACCGTTTTTGCCCCCCTGCGCGGGAGGCCAGGGTTACTGGCAAATGTATGTTATTGAATAAAAGTGCATAAAAACAAAAACGATGAATTATAATCCGCACTTTGTTTGTTTGTTACCTTCTGTGCGGCGCATATTATTGCTACATCTTTGCGTGGTGCACATTGTCGCCATTCACTTGCAAAGCTTCTTCTTCCAGAAATTTGAAAATTATGTAAAGCCGTAATTGTTAGAATACCCAATAGATTGTCGCATGTCGGAAAAACAAATTGGTTTATTATAAAAAAATATTTAAATCTAAAATGCCACGGCAATCTGTGGAACAAAATGTGCTGTAAACTTTCCGATTATAACAAATTCCCATTTGTATTTTCGTACTTTGCCTTGCCGTATTAATTTATTCTGTTCAACATAACTCATGATTGCGTTAACAAAAATATATAAGAGCGTTACTACCGTTAAATATCACAAAAATCTGCAGACATAAATGCATGATAAATAGCCTGGTTGTAGATAACAGTTCTGTGAATAACCTCAACAAATTTCCGTGGTCCAGCACTGGGCCACGACCCACTGTGAATCGGAAACTCTTCCCCCACCCCACTTTCGTAATACGAAAAAAAAAGATTTTTCTGTATCATACATAGCAATTTTTCGTAGCTTGAAACGCTTTTTGGAAACTCGGGATTTTTCAAAATACCCATGGTTTCCCTCCTCCGGTCTGTCCTAGCTAGCTGTCCTAACTTGGGAACAAAATATTTCGAAACCGCCCTTTGAAAATCATAATCCTCCCTTCCGTTAAAAATTCCTGGCTACGCCTATGATCACACAAGTAACCAAAATAACCTCGGTGTGATACACGAATAACCGTGATTTGACAAAAATCTCTAAGCCTAATTCGAGTCGCTTCTTGTTGAGTTACAACTCGAGTTCAAGTCACAGTAGATTTTACGAACAACCGTGAAATGAAGAAATCTGAGTGTGACACTAAGGCACTAAGACTTCCATGTCGCGTTCAATCATATTTTTTCTGAATATAAAACTAGCATTTGATATTGCGTTAACAACATTTACATCGGTATTGACCTTGTTTATCATCAGCCATTGCTACAACAATCAATTAAATTTTCGTTTTTTAAATACAGTATTAAAATAACAGTAAACCGACTGTTTTTTTCAACGAATCTCGAAAAATGTTTTAGTCTTTTTTGCGTATAGACGACTTCGAGTTGAGTCTGCGAATTACCACCCATGGTGTTACATTTTCATCCGCCTCTACGGGTTTTGGCGTACGAATGCACTGTATACGAACCATAGTATATGGTTAAAATTACTACTCAGTATATATATCAGGACAAAGCCATATCCCACTTTCCAATCTTTTTTTTGTAAACTTTCATTCTGGCACACTATTGAAACTTCGGTAAAAGAGAACGAAGTGAAACGTAATAATGATGATTTTAACTTTTAGTTTCTTCCAAACCATCAGGTTAATATATATTTTATCTCTATGTGGAAGAACCGGGGAGCTTGGTTTAATTTGTTTCCATGGGATAGAAAAGTACGAAGACCGATGTTTTCAATTCTACGTTTTCAGATTATTTATGCCACTGAACATTATCATTACCACCATGCGAACGCAGCTCAATAGCGCCTCTGTCGACAGAAGTCAATAACGAAAGCGAAAACAATTTTACATCTGGTATTGGTAGATATTCTGTTTTATAAGAATGGTTAATTCTTGCATTGAGATGTAAATACAACTTCGACCCTTGAAGCATACACCTAACGGTACTAGGCTTCGTATTGGCAAATATTTAAAAATGTCGTCATTTACACAAAATCACATACTTCCAAATTGCATTCCTAAAAATTCATACTCTGACGTTACACACTACCCCATTCCAATTAACAACAAGAGTGATTATGAATCTATAACTCTGGGAAATTTTCAAAGAATTTACTCGCTAATCACTGAACATTGTCTTGAGTCTTTTGTGACCCACAGTCTGGACTACATGTTTTGGAGTAAGCAACACAAAATATGATTTGCAAAGTTGAATTTTTATTAAACCCTACATAATCAAAAATAATATCTCAGCAATACGTATGAGGATGTCTGAATATTAAGGTTACTTTGCATATGAATTGCCAATATTCTCAACTGTAGCCATGTAACAGAAAGTATAATTTTTCTGGTACTTCAACCCAGTAAATAATTCTTACTGGATATATGCTAAATTCCCAGAGAATTTCTATCATTATACAATATTTTTGTTACAAGTTGAATACGCCAACAACCGCTGTTTACTATTTACTGTTTACCAACTATTTAAATACCTGAAATACTTTTAAAATTGCTATATAATTTCCCGCTCAGCGCTATTCAATAAACACCAACTATAATTCAGGGGTGTGCAATTACTTTTCTTCTGAGTGGGCCGGATCCAGATAATAAACTTGCTTACTGGACCGGAGGCTCAATATGAAACTATGAATGAAAACAGTTTATTCACAATTAAAAATCAGCGTAGCACTAGTGTACAAAGTGATACGTGATAAACGGGACTGATGTAGCCTGCTGAACGCGTTTAGTAGCTTATTTAAATCGGGCAAGCTGCTTGTGCTGATTCTTAGACAAGGGCTGCATACGTAAACAATGTAGGTTTGCATACGTCATAGATCTGTTTTTATTTTGTTAATCATCATACCTTGGAACAATAATTCGGATCGGTGAATTTGAGGTATATCAGGTTCGTTTTGAACCAAATTATAAGGAAAAAAAGCACGGCATACTTACACGGAAAAAAATGCTCTTTTTAAATAAAACTAAATTTTATGATCCATAGTGTGTAATGCTTTTGCTTGTAAACATGTAGGCCCAAGGAATAAAGGCAAGAGGTGAAACCTTCTTTTATATCTCTGCCTGATTTTACTTTGAAACATAGCAATTCTCGGCGCACCCTTTGGGAACCGCTGAATCACGGTATTTATTTTAGTCGACGATTCGTTATTTTAATTGATATTTCCAACAGAAATTCATATCAATAAAAACTATAGTCATAATTTCAGCAGGCACAAGTGGGTCGGATGAAACACTCTGATGGGCCGGATCCGGCCCGCGGGCCGTAATTTGCCCACCCCTGAACTATATCATAGCAGCATAGCTCATAGAAAATCTATGACTATAAAAGAGATGCGAGACCTCAAATTGTGTGAGCCGGCGGAATGTTATAAAATGCAACCATTTGTGACTGAATACCAAATACCAAACGAATATATGAGGAGGGAAAAACTGAAAAAAGTCACTTTTAAAATTCATTTTAAAAAATAAGGTAAAACACTTGCAGGCGAGCGAAATTTACACATAAATTGAACATTTGAGATAATTTATTTCATCTAGCTTGATAAAACTTGACATAAGATTCATATTTGTTTCAACTTCACTCATAGTCAATAGGTAGGTATTAAACCTCAAAGTAAAGCTCGACCAGTCAAGTAGCAAGCAAACAAGTAATACCTGGTACATTGCAATACCCGACGTAGCAAGTGACAACGTTATTTACGCACACTCGCGTGCAACAACCCACTGTCTCTTACACTCTCGTCTCAATCATATGTGGGCCATTGGTATATAGGGATTTAAGAGGGATACTCATCTACGTCAACGCTTAGACAGAGTATAAAGATTACACATAAAATAACATTTATAAAAGATTTGCGCAGGCTATAGACAGACGATGCAGCACTCTGCGCTATATTTTATACTTTTTATATTCTGAGTGGCGCTTATTGTTTATTTATTGTGAGGAAAGTGGATAAAATGGTATTATAATATGTAGAATTACGGCCATTAATATGATAACTAGTACTAGTGAGGTGTGGAAACAGCCTGGCGCATTGCTACTTTGCAAACATGATCACCGGTTCGGTAGAAAGTGGTTTATTCACACCAAACCGGTAGTTAAAGCTTCGATTGGCTGAATTGGTCAATAAGTTAGAAATTTCAATAAATAGGCCAGTAATGGATATATTTTTGTACGGCATACAGTATCTAGTTTCAGTTTAAACTTCAGGCATAGACTATTACGAAGCCTGTCTAAAATGACTAAACCAAACAGAAATGGAAAGAAAGTCAAAAATGGACATGATAGAGAAGGTTTGTTAATCTTGTTTTTTGCTAGCTGATTGGTGCTGTTTGTACATAGTTGAGTTTCTACTTTCTATAATTGATGAGAGAGCGAAACTACAAAATTTTAAGTTTAAAAGAACAGAAAACGTCTAACCTCGGCATTGCCTGCGCATGGTTTCATAACCTTTGGACCCTCGTACATTTGCACCCGTACAATAGTAACCGGAATGTGTACCCAAGGCAATTGCACTTGCATAAGTTTGCACCCCAGATATTTGAACCTAGGGTTGCCACTTCTGGTTACTATTTTTTTTCGAATCGAATTTCGAATCCAAAATTTACGGAGCTGAATCCGTTAATTCTTTTTTTTATTTATTTTTCTATCGCATGCGTAGATTTGCCCAATATTGCGTAAAATTATTTCACTGATTATTAGGGATACGTATATTTGCTGGCTGAACCGTTATTACCAAACTTGGACTTTATTACTATCCTAGACTACGTTTAATTACGTATGTCAGAAAGTCCAAATATGCACAATAGACGCGGCGCCTACGAGCGATAATTGGTCGACGCTTCATTTCGATCAAACATGGTCGCTGGGGCTGAAGTAAGACGACATTTGCACAGTATGCTTGGTCTGGTATAAAATCTGGCGGTGTTAATATAAAACAGTGCACAACTTGCCATTCCTCAAGCATCATCTCATTCCACTTGCCCGTTATAACACTTGCTAGAAAAAACCCAAAACGTTTTATTACCCGTTTGTATCGCGCCAAGATAATTGAAAGAATATACAACATTTATTTTAATGTAACCGATGGAAGAAGGAACGTAGATGCTCAATAAACAATATGTTTTCCTATATTTCGTTTGTGCAGGCACTGCGAATGCGAATAAAATAGACCAAATAGATATTTCACGATATAAAAAAAAAATTTCCAATTTAACATGGTCGGCCAATGAACTTATTCTGCAATAGTTTTCTTCAAATATACGCGAAATCTTTCTCTCTGAACGAATTTTAAATAAATATCAATCAAAATTAAATATTTTTTGGAAGTCGGTAGCTGATTCTTTACCCAATTACGCCAGGGCGTACCATAATTTAGTCTCCGCCCAGGTGTGCCAAAATTGTCACGAATTTTTGGGTATACGATCCATTTAAATTCGCGTATAAGAGAAATTTGGGCAATTCAGGGGTATACTAAACAAGAAGTTTTGGGGAAATTACATCGCCGATGAACAAACAAACGTACGATGTTTGTTTTGTTTTCGGTAAATCGCTCTCTTTTTCCGAATCGCGTAAATCCGATTCGTGAATTTGAAAATGGCATTCCTATTTGCAAACATGGACATTTGCACTCACGGATATTTGTACCCAAGGACATTTGCACCCCCGTGCAATTGCACCTACGGACATTTGCAGCCACGGATATTTGCACTCACGGACATTTACACCAAGTAAATTTACATCAATATACGATTGCACCCGCGGGCACGGGAATTTGCACCTGTAATCATTTACACCCATGGTTACCAGTCTTTGAAGTAAAAGAAGTGTTATTGCCATTTGCGCCGAAATACGGACTTTCTTGGGTTATGAATAGTAAGTAAGACGAACACGCTGCAAACCCGAAACACGATTAATTTGGATTTCCATCCATTAACTCAGATCGAGTAAAAGCTCAAAACAGTCGGAAAACAACTTACATTGTTCTGAACACAATACAAAGAGTAGTAAAGCGTTTTCGTAAACAAATTGTTCCATATAAATCCTGCTTTCGTCGAACCGAGGCCGTTTTTCGCTCTATGTCTATTTCTCATCTATTATTTCCTCTCGAAGAACGTTTCTCTTGTCCTGGTTGCAAAGGTCCATGGGTAAAAATATCCGTGGGTGCGAATATACAAGCGTGCAAATGTCCGTGGGTGCTAATGTACATGTGTATTTGTGGGTTCAGAAGTACATGAGTGCAAACGCTCGTGGGTGCAAATATCCGCGGGTGAAAATGGCCGTGGGTGCAAATGTACAAGGGTGTAACTGTGAATGTCCATGGGTGTAAATGTTCGTGGATGCGAATGTCCGTGGGTGCAAATGTACATGTGTGAAATTGTCGAGGGTTCAAATGTACATGGGTTCAAATGTACGGGAACCTGTGAAAATACAACACGAATCTGTCAAATGTAAGCTGCACAATGCGACTGCGTATATTTCCCACAAAAGTTTCATTAATCAACCCCGCAGTCTCACTACTGCTGAGGAAACTTCCAAGTATTATGTCACGTGTGATATGATTTGTTTCCAATAACAAAGTCGTCAAGATTATGTCCTACAGCCGTTTTGTTTTGATAACCTAATAAGTTTTTCAGGGCAGCGGTGAGTGTGACCATGTGACTATATTTAAATATCGAACGAATATATGAGAGTAATCCCTAAAAAATCACTCATTTACTTTTAAAAATAAAACTAAAATGATTCGATAACTTTTACTTAAATTCGACCGCATACAGTATCTACTTTTAGTTAAAACTTAACGTAAACGATTACAATGCCCGTCTAGAATGACTAAATTAAACAGAAATGGGAAGAAAGTCAAAGTGGACATAATAGGAATAGAAAAGGTTTTTTAATATTTGCTAGCTAATCTATGCTGTTTGAACAAAGTTGAGTTTATATTTCTATTATTGATTAAACAACGAAACTACAAAATATTTGGAAAAATAGCTTTCCACTTCGCCACTGCCTCCGCATGGTTTCGTTATATTAGCACCCAGTACATTTGCACCTGCATACTTTTGCACTCCCAGACATTTTCACCCATGGCCAATTGCACAAATAGTTATGCACCCGGAAATTTCAGTACCCTCATACAGATTTCACCCATGAACATTTGCATTCACATAAAATTGCACCCACGTACATATATATGATCACATGAACATTAGCACCTACGGATATTTATAACCACGTACATTTGCATCCACGGACGTATGCACCTTTTACATTCGCACTCAGGGACATTTGCACCCACGTACATTTGCACCCACTCACATATGCACCCGCGCACATTGCACACCTGGACATTTGCACCGACGTACTTTTGCACTCGCTTGAATTTGCACCCATGAACCTTAGAACCAACGGATTTCCATCTATGAACAATTGCACGTCCTTTCGTGGGTGCAAAAGGTCGTGAGTGCAAATGTCCGTGGGTGCAAATGGCTATGGGTGCGAATGTACATGGGTGCAAATGTCCGTGGGTGTAAATGTTCGTGAGTGCAAATGTCCGTGGGTGCAAATGTCCGTGGGTGTAAATGTTCGTGGGTGTAAATGTTCGTGGGTGCAAATGTCCGTGGGTGTCCGTGGATGCAAATGTACATGGGTGCAAATGTACATGGGTTCAAATGTGCGTGGGTGTAAATGTTCGTGAGTGCAAATGTCCGTGGGTGCAAATGTTCGTGGGTGCAAATGTCCGTGGGTGTAAATGTTCGTGAGTGCAAATGTTCGTGAGTGCAAATGTCCGTGGGTGCAAATGTCAGTGGGTGCAAATGTCCGTGGGTGTAAATGTTCGTGGGTGTAAATGTTCGTGGGTGCAAATGTCCGTGGGTGTAAATGTTCGTGGGTGCAAATGTCCGTGGGTGTAAATGTTCGTGAGTGCAAATGTCCGTGGGTGCAAATGTCCGTGGGTGCAAATGTCCGTGGGTGTAAATGTTCGTGGGTGCAAATGTCCGTGGATGCAAATGTACAAGGGTGCAAATGTACATGGGTTCAAATGTCCGCTGGTACAATTTCTATGCGGGTGCTGAAATATATGGATGGACTTGTATAGGTACAAATATCAGTGGGTGTAAATGTGCTGTCATTCCTGCGCATTGTGAGGTATTGAGTTGGAAACCGAAATTTTGATATGCGACCTCAAGTAGTAAGCTTTAACACGTCAGATCTCTTGCACTATAATATAAGTCGATACCACGCAACCCTGCTCTTACAGCCGTTTTGTTTTGATAACCTAATAAGTTTTTCAGGGCAGCGGTGAGTGTGACCATGTGACTATATTTAAATATCGAACAAATATATGAGAGTAATCCCTAAAAAATCACTCTTTTACTTTTAAAAATAAAACTAAAATGATTCGATAACTTTTACTTAAATTCGACCGCATACAGTATCTACTTTTAGTTAAAACTTAACGTAAACGATTACAATGCCCGTCTAGAATGACTAAATTAAACAGAAATGGGAAGAAAGTCGAAAGTGGACATAATAGGAATAGAAAAGGTTTTTTAATATTTGCTAGCTAATCTATGCTGTTTGAACAAAGTTGAGTTTATATTTCTATTATTGATTAAACAACGAAACTACAAAATATTTGGAAAAATAGCTTTCCACTTCGCCACTGCCTTCGCATGGTTTCGTTATATTAGCACCCAGTACATTTGCACCTGCATACTTTTGCACTCCCAGACATTTTCACCCATGGCCAATTGCACAAATAGTTATGCACCCGGAAATTTCAGTACCCTCATACAGATTTCACCCATGAACATTTGCATTCACATAAAATTGCACCCACGTACATATATATGATCACATGAACATTAGCACCTACGGATATTTATAACCACTTACATTTGCATCCACGGACGTATGCACCTTTTACATTCGCACTCAGGGACATTTGCACCCACGTACATTTGCACCCACTCACATATGCACCCGCGCACATTAGCACCTACAGACATTTGCACACATGGACATTAGCACCTACGGATATTTGCACCTACGGATATTTGCACCCACGTACACTTGCACCACGTACATTTGCATCCACGGATATTTGCAAACATGGACATTTGCACCTACGTATATTTGCACCCGCGTACGTTTGCAGCCGCTTACATTTGTACCCATGTACATTTGCACCCATATAAATCTGCACCCACATTAATTTGCACCCACAAATATTTGCACACATACAATTGCACATTTGCATCCGCGCACATTGCACACCTGGACATTTGCACCGACGTACTTTTGCACTCGCTTGAATTTGCACCCATGAACCTTAGAACCAACGGATTTCCATCTATGAACAATTGCACGTCCTTTCGTGGGTGCAAAAGGTCGTGAGTGCAAATGTCCGTGGGTGCAAATGGCTATGGGTGCGAATGTACATGGGTGCAAATGTCCGTGGGTGTAAATGTTCGTGAGTGCAAATGTCCGTGGGTGCAAATGTCCGTGGGTGTAAATGTTCGTGGGTGTAAATGTTCGTGGGTGCAAATGTCCGTGGGTGTCCGTGGATGCAAATGTACATGGGTGCAAATGTACATGGGTTCAAATGTCCGTGGGTGTAAATGTTCGTGAGTGCAAATGTCCGTGGGTGCAAATGTCCGTGGGTGTAAATGTTCGTGGGTGTAAATGTTCGTGGGTGCAAATGTCCGTGGGTGTAAATGTTCGTGGGTGCAAATGTCCGTGGATGCAAATGTACAAGGGTGCAAATGTACATGGGTTCAAATGTCCGCTGGTACAATTTCTATGCGGGTGCTGAAATATATGGATGGACTTGTATAGGTACAAATATCAGTGGGTGTAAATGTGCTGTCATTCCTGCGCATTGTGAGGTATTGAGTTGGAAACCGAAATTTTGATATGCGATCTCAAGTAGTAAGCTTTAACACGTCAGATCTCTTGCACTATAATATAAGGTTCCATTACATTTGAACCCACGTACATTTGAGCCCATGACAATTGCACCTGCATACTATCGCACACTTATAAATTTTGTTTTCGTTTTACGGATATTTGAACTCATACTCACCCTAACCCATGGGTTTTAGCACCCGCATATAGATTGAACCCGCGGATATACGCATGGGTTCGAATGTACGTGGGTTCAAATGCGCGGTCACCTGATATAAATGTATTCATTCAAAATTTCAAGTCGAAGGTAGAGTACATTAAGGTTGCCATAATTTGTTTCAATTTCAAACCATGAGTTGTCTAAAGCAATTAGATTTTACAATGGTGATCCAGAGTTACTACTGCGGCGCAGAGCAACAATATTAAATAAACGATATCTTTTACACTTTGTCTAATTTAATTCCAGTCCTGTATTGACCTGTCTTCTTTAATAGAAAAATTTAAATATTTTATGTTCTGTTCAGGCCGCCAAATGTGTAACCACTCACAGCTTATATATTTTTTTTAATTCGACGCTAAAATTATTTCGAATTGTACTTCTCCGTCTATCTGTTAACTTGAATCATTTCAGGTATGATGCCAACTTATAATTGACAACATCTTCCAAATCTTTTATAATAAAGTTTTGGAGCTTGATGATCGATCACCTGCAACGCTTTTCACTTTTGGTTTGGCGGGCAGTACTTTTCGTTGAGCAAACTTGTGTAACATTGCACTATTCATATCAATATAAATCTATATTTAGAGAGCTCGCAAAGACAACCTGAAAATAAGTTTGGTAATCAAGGACATGATTGGTCTGCTGTCCAAAACGACGGAATGCAAAGCAATTCATGTGAAAGCAATACGGGTAAGTTCAGTTCACTTTATGTATATTTCTAGACAATGAGTTTTGTGGAACAAAGTAATGAAAATCTAAATAATAGACTTTAATTCATTATACTTCAGAAAGAAAAGTAAGAAATTATTTATTATTCGGACATCATCGTCCCGTAATTTGGCATTATTAGGAGTGACACTTAAACTCATTCTGTAGATTTAACGCCGTTGATGAACAAACAAACGTTCGATGTTTGTTTTCGAGTTTTCAGTAAATCGCTCTCTTTTTCCGAATCGCGTAAATCCGATCCGTGAATTCAAAAGTGGCATCCCTATTTGCACCCATGGACATTTTCACCTACGGATATTTGCACCCACAGATATTTGCACCCATGGACATTCTCACCCACGGATATTTGCACCCACAGATATTTGCACTCATGGACATTTGCACCGAGTAAATTTACATCCATATACGATTGCACCCGCGGGTACGGGATTTTGCACCGGTAAACATTTACACTAACGGTTTCCAGTCTTTGAAGTAAAAGACGTGTAAATGCTTTTCGTGCCGAAATACGGACTTTCTAAAGTTATGAATAGTAATGAAGACGAACACGCTTCAAACCCGAAACACGATTAATTTGGATTTCCATCTATTAATTCAGAAAAAAAGTAGGAAAGCGTCTACGTAGACAACATGTTCCATATATATCCTGATTTCGTCGCAAAATCTGTACCACTATATTTTTTTAAATTCTACGCTAAATTATTTCCAGTTTTATCTCTCTGACAATCTGTTAACTTGAATCATTTCAGGTATGATGCCTTTTAGCGCTTGATGACTGATAAAAACTCCTTCCACTTTCAGATAAGCGAGCAGTACTTTTCGTTGAGCAAATTTGTATAATAGTGCACTTCTCATATCAGAATAAATTTCTATTTAGAAAGCTCGCAGGTGCAACCTGGACATAAGTTTGATAATCAAGTCCATGATTTCTCTGCTGTCCAAAACGACGGAATGCAAGGCAGTTCGCCTGGAAGCTATGCGGGTAAGTACAGCTCACTTGATTTATATTTCTGGGGAATGAGTTTTGTGAAACAAAGTAAAAAAAATCTCTAAATAATAGAAGACTTTGGTGCTCTATATATAAATATTATTAGTAAAACGAGTGTTCCATGTTATCTGGATTTAAATACGGCAAATAAGTTTTCACTATTCAAGGCCAAGGTATAATTAATTATACTTCAGAAAGAAAAGTAAGAAAATATTTATCAGTCTGACCGATAATGAGTTATGGATCGTTTGACCAACTCGAATTATTTGATTAAACACTGATTGGAAATTCTTCTATGAAAATTTCTGTGGCCTCCCATTTCTCTTGGTGCCCTAAGCACGTGCTCGTTTTGTCTAGTGGCTAATATTAACATTTGGTATATATAAAAATACAACACGAATCTGTCAAATGTAAGTTGCACAATGTGAATTTGTATATTTTCCACACAAGGTTCAGAAAATCAACCCCACAGTCTCACTACGGTTGAGGAAACTTTTGATTATTACGCCACGTGTGAAATAATTTGTTTCCAATAACAGAGTCGTCAAGATTATGTCTTACAGCCGTTTTGTTTTGATAACCTAATAAGTTTTTCATGGCAACGGCAAGTCTGACCATGTGACTATATTTAAATACCGAACGAATATATGGGAGTAATAACTAAAAAAATCACTTATTCACTGTTAAAAAGGTAAAACACTTGCAGACGATCACGATTCACACATAGATTGAGCATTCAAGGCGAATATTCATTTCATCTAGCTTGATCCCACTTGCCACTTAAGTTTATGTTCAACTCAACTTTAAACACAGTCGATAGATAGGTATTAAACCCCAAAAGAAAGCTCGACTACTCAAGTTGTGTTCAAACAAGCAATACCTGGTACATTGCAATACCCGACGTAGTGAGCGATAACGTTATTTACGCACACTCGTGTGTGTCAACCGACTGTCTTTCACACTCGTTTCAATCATATAGGGCCATTGGTAGATGGGGCTTTCGGTGGTTTCTGGGGATTCTACGCTAAAATTATTTCAAGTTTTACCTCTTTGACCATGTGTTAACTTGAATGTCTTCAGGTATGACGCCAACTTTTACCTGACTACATCTTTCAAATCTTTTATAATAAGTTTTAGCGATTGATGACCACTTGCAACTCCTCTCACTTTCAGTTAAACGAGCGGTACTTTTTGTTGAGCAAACTTGTGTAACAGTGCACTATTCATATCAGAATAAATCTATATTTAGAAAACTCGCAAGGGCAACCTGGAAATAAGTTTGATAATCAAGAACATGATTTCTCTGCTGTTTGGAACGACGGTAGGAAAGGCAATTCGCCTGCAAGCAATGCCAGTACGTACAATTTTTGTTATGTATATTTCTGAGCAATGACTTTTGTAAAACAAATAAAAAGTCTGTCTAAAAAATATCCACTTTTAATAATATAACTGTTGCTAACTGGTGAGAAACGTATAAACATTTTTTCAGATACTGTGAAATTGCAACACGGTAAATCTGTCAAATGTAAGTTTCGCAATGTGACTTTGTATATTTTCACACAAGGTTCATAAAATCAAACCTGAGGAAATTTGGCAAAATTATGTCTTACTGGCGTTTCGATCTAATCTTATGAGTTTTTCAGGGCAACTGTAAATCTGTAAGACTATGTTTATATCAATTACAGATGGTAACCTGGAAATACAGAGACTTCAAAAGGAAATACTTAAGTTGAAACGTTATATTCAACAACAGCAAGATTTAAGTTAGTATCTTTGTGCCATCGTTTGGTTAAATAAATGGATGAAATTAAATATAAGGTTTGAAACTGGTAAATTTAATTTTATAAAGTTTTTCCAGCGACTGATGGTTTTTGATTGAGCAAATGTTTGTTCTAGTTTGCATGGATATTTTAGGGCAGAGTCCGGAATGATTTACAAACTTTGTGGTCATCTTTGCAACCTTAAACACCTCTTTAAGTTCTAAACCTTTTTTTTATTCGACTACGCTACTGACAACAAACAAATTTTTCTCGCGCGGCAACACGAAATCCTGAGCACGTAATAAGTATTCGGAATCCGACACAGCACCTTTCTGGCATTGTAGGCTCGGCTAAAAATAACACGTTCCAGAGAAATCAAAGTACATGCACGTAACAGATACGTGTCTGACATCACAATGAACTGGGAAACCAAAATACTGTAGCAAATTCACGTAAACATGAAACGGGCATTGTAGCTATAGATGGGCGTTGCAAGTGCCCGAGAATGCGATTTTACTGCGCAATTTGTCTGTTGGTACTACGCAATGGCGCACCTTAGAGGAAACCTTGATAACCACCCAATCAAATGCAACAGTAGCTATGCAGTTATGCATGAAAGAACGAGAAACTTTATTTGACATACCTGATGTAAATAAAATGTTGAAAACGCATCTGAAAAATTTTAATTTTAGAAATTTTGCAAGAGAAACATTTCGATGATCAAAGTCGCGCTTTGTCTCTTGGTGAAGACGTAACCCAGATAAATTTGGCAGGACACAGCGGGAGTAAGTACACCTAAACTTATTAGGCCAATGCTCTTTGTAAAACAAAATAAATTAGTTTATTTAAATATATTTGCATTCAATATTTGTAAATAATTATTGCCAGTGTTCGGTGACGTATGGACATTTCATTGCAAATGGTAAAAATCGTCGGTTGTAACCTCCGCTATGTAACATTCTTTCATTTCATCTTCCATTTATTCATATATAATTTAGTTCTATTGTATGCGTCACTTTTCGTTTGTGAGTGTGCGGTCGAAAGTGTGTATTCTGTCAAAATCATCATTTACCGACTATTTTGCGAATAACTTGTAGCAATTTTTGCCTCGGCTTCTCATTGGTACAAATGAATTTTTTCAACGTTTGGGGTTAGTGTCGAGTATGTCTTCAATGTCGAGTATGTCTTCAATTATACAATAAATTGTCCAAGCAATTTGTTCAAAGTTCTTGGGGCCTCTATGACTGCAAAGGCATGTTCCGGCCTGGACAGGATATACTGATCTGTTGAATTTTGAGAACCTTTATTACTAAACTAAAATTGTCCAGGCCCTCGTATCTCGCTTGTTGCACACTTGTTCCAATTGTCCAATTTTTCGCAATTGTACTGCACTTGTCCCTTAAGAATCATATGGGTTGGGTCAAATATAAAACCTAATGGACATGGTTAGATTAAAAATGGAATATTATATCTTATGTGTATCTCAGGGGGGGAGATGGAATGCAGCATTAATAGAGGAAGAATGTTAACCTAATTGCAATATTCTTCAGTGAACGAAAAAGAAAGTCATTTGCGGGAAGAAGAAAAGTTAGAACGTGAAAGTAGAAACAAAAAACTCGAAGCTGAAAATACTAACTTGCGAAATCACTTGAAAGATCAGGAAGAACAGAGTAAGCGCTTTCTATTGTATTTGTACATTAAAACAAAGCAATGCTCAAATATATGACGAAAGCGTAAATGTCAAAAGAAGTGTTTCAATAAATTGAATAAACTTTAGGTTAAATAACGGGTCTCATAAAAGATGCTGAGGAATTTGTAAAACTTAATAAACCGATACCCTTTAACCCCTTAAGATACAACATAAGCCAAAACCCTCCTAATTGCATCAGCCATCTCTTGTATGTATGTATGTTTAGCCATGTACTAAAAATTTGTAACCCATTTGGTTCATCATCTAACAATAGTTTAAAAAAATGGTCCGTATAAACACTTTGCGTCCAATGAATTCCCCTGCAAAACGCATATGCTCATCGTCAAAATCTACCACTTCTTAATATGGATATAGTCTTTCAATCAATTTATTGCAAACCTATTGTATTGTTTTACATTGACATTTGAATAGTGCAGCCTGCGATAAACTTGGTGCGAAGTAAAATTATGATCAGTACAATCTTTGCGTGCTTTATTTCGATGAGTGTTGAGCTAATAATACAGTATTTGTTCTTTAAATTTATATTTTGCGTTCATAGAAAGACACATTGACAAAACAAATTTTGTAATTCATTGCAGTGGAGAAAAAACAAAGGGATGTAGTGAAGAAAACCGAGACAATAGCAAAACTGCGAGAAAGTGAACGACTAATGCATGAGAAATATAAAAGTAAGTGTTATGCGCATATCGCCATAGTGCTGGGTAGGCTTGCACGTAATTTACAGATTTACGTAATTACGTAATTATTTGGAGTTACGGAAGGGAAGTTACGAATTACGTAAAGTCGTAATTATTGCATTGAAACGAGCTTTCTTCAAAGCAGTCAATTTCGTCGATTGCGAAAAATGAAAGATCAACAAGTAGAAGAAGTTAGAGTTCCGGTATTCGCAGCCGTTCTTCCTACTTTTCTCTCTCTTGTTACGTAGGTGAAGGAAGGCATGACGCGTTGCCATTTACTAAACTATTATCAACTTTTCTGGCATGGCCAATGTAAATTATTAACGTAGTTAAGGGAGAAGAATTGAGTAGGGCCGTTTGACGCCAACACACCTGGTTTTAACTTCTCCCGTAACTTAACCGTAGATAAGGGATAGAATTGCGTTGAGACCGATTGACGCCATCACACCTGGTTTCAACTTCTCTCCATCTTATCTAGCATGGCCATGGCCAATGTACATAATAACCGTAGATAGGGGGAAGAATTGTGTTAAGACCGATTGGACGCTAACACGCCCGGTTTCAACTTCTTCGGGTGAAATGACTAATGAACGCAGGAGATCAATCTTTCAAACATGGTCTATCAAACATTTGTATCCATTTTACTTTTATTTATTATTTACTTGTTCCAGTTTTCCGTTACTTATGGTATATATGTTCCGTTTCTATTGTATTCTATTTATAGTCACGCGTTTAAATAGTGGGAATTCCCCACCAAGTGTGGATTAGCAATGCTTAACCATTCTTATTGTTAATATCAACACTTGATATATGAACATGGAATATCATACTGTTTTTGGCTGTTTTATTTCAGGCTTGGGGTATAACAGGAAAATATCCATAACCTTTCAACACGACGATCTTGTGAAATTTAATGAAGAGCTTTTGCGACGAATTGGAACCAAATAGCGAAAAGAGCGATTGGTCACTCGCGCCAATACCTCGCCGTGATAATTAATGTCGCGCTTATCAGATAGCAATATGACGACAAAAGAGAGATTGCGCAATGAACCAACGCAACTTCGTCTTCTCGGCATCGGTAAAGCGATTGAGACGGCAGAGAAACAGCAAAACGACGGATTCCTCGCGGACCGCTAAAATTTAACTGCTATCATATATAATCAAATATGGGCCAGTGTGTTTATTCTGTGGCGAGATCCATTTTCTATATAAATCTTGATGTTCTGTTAACGGTTTTATCGTTATATATCAGTCCGGACTTGGCCTTGCTCATGATGTTTTTCACAATTCCTCTCAATATTTCGGCCATATATGATTAACTGTCTTACCAAATGCGGGCAACTTATTTTGATTTATCGTCGACTTGAATACCACCGGCACTCGACCAAACTTGTGTCAATCTTGGCCGATAGGATCGCCGACTTGAGTTAGCAAATAAATGTCGTGAGTGTAAAATAAATGTCACAAAATGCATTGTTTTGCGATATAACTTTGTATTTTCGGAGAAGGCATATCATATAAGTTCGATATTTAAATTATACTCAATAAATAATATTTGGTCTAAATTTATCGCAAATAATGTTATAAACATTCAGTCCGCGAAATGAGTAAATGTAAAATGAAGCATGGTAATCGGAATATCGTCAATAAGTCGACATCAATAATTATTATTATAAAATGCTAACAAGGCAGTAATGTCGGATAATGCAGAAGACGCTGCAAAAACAAGTCTTGGTCGCGAGGAAATCGCAAGTATAATCAAACGAGAGAATACGCTCGTCGTTGGTTAATAAATTAGAAACCCGTAATTTTTATTCAGTACTAAGGTGGTTTTAAAAAACTATCGTTTCCATAAATATCCGTATACCAGTGTCGGTAATGATAAAAATAAAATTGATCGCATAAAAATGGGAAGGTTAATTTGCGAAGGTGATAAAGTAAAACCAAAGCTGACACAAAAGATAAAAATCAGAATAAAATTAATTTGAATTCACTCCTTGATATTTGTCTTTAACATCTGCCGACGGCGTGTAGTACTGCCAAGAATATGAAAACCCAACTTCAATGTCCCATTCGGAAAAGAAGTGGATTCAATTGGTTGTTATGATAGGTTTAAATGCGTGGAAAAATATCGCAATTACGGGGTCATTACGTAATTGATTTTGCCGTAATTACGGAATTGATTTTTGTCAATTACGTGCAAGCCTAGTGCTGGGTAGAAGTGACCTCAACACTGCAAGCAGCTATCAGATCTACCTAAGCTTGCTGAATAATATTTCTTCAAACTTATTTGTCGTCGTTTCAATAAAGTTATTCAGAATATGTTAAGTTGAAACTAGTCATTGAGATTATTGAATTAGGTTTAGGTATAGTTCAAATTTGTTTTGTTAAAAAATCTCTATATAATCGTCATAGTTTTCGTTCTTCAAAACTTTTAGTAATTATTTCAGATTTCCGTTGCAACGTTATCTGTTATGCTGTCATTTGTATCGCTGTCCTGGTCGCTGTTCATGATGTTATGGGAATATCATTGCAAGGTACATGTTCTCTAAATTGAGTTTCATTGAGATTATTTTCAAGATGAATTCCCAGAATCTGAGAATTGCATCTAATACTATAAGATCGCTAATACGACAACTTACCTGATAATTATTTTCAGAAGTGAATTGCGGAGTAAGCCCAATATTAATATAAATGAAGCTCAGAAATCATTCTCAGACTTACTCTTGTGCTTATTTGCGATTCGTCGAAGTACAAAACCGGAAAATAAAACTATTGATCACCTTTGCACGACGTTTTTCACCTCGCAAATGGTGGCGCTTGGTGCTCAGACGACTCTCGCTTCTCTGCACAACTCATTTCCGACATCTCTCTCGCCTTCAATTTTGCTTGATTAAATAAAGTGTCAATATTGGCATGTTATTAGTCAATTCATGTTATTATCGGTAATAAAGATTTAAAATGACGTTTACGAGAGAGTGTACAAGGCGAAAAAGGCAATTGACTATCTGCAGAAAACGACAGTTCTTGAATAAAATCTATTTGAAGATGTTGAGTCAGTAATCACAGAAACATGGAAAAGTTAAAACAATTGGGGCGTATTTCAATCATGCATTTTGATGGTTGTTGTACAGTGACAATAAAGTCATTAAAAAAACAATGTCATCAAACTAGCTTTGAATTTGTATCTCCCTAATGCAATTTTGAATTTTCTGGGCAACAATTTTACCTATATTGATGGTTGTTTACCATTTTGGTGAAAATTATACAAAAACACCCCAAGATAATGATAATAGGATTAAAATAGCATCTACAGGCTTTGCTTGCCTTATTAAATCTGAATTCATTAGAAATGAGTAAAATGGTATTAAGAGTCTGTGCATACCTCTAACTCTCAATTTGGAGACATCTAAATTGGTTCATGGAGGCGGGGGATCTTCTTTTATAACTCTGGAAACATAATTATGCTAAATATCAGCAGCATATTTTTATTTTGAACAGCCCTAGCAGTGAGTAGGATGTGTGCTAAACCGCCATAGTTTCAGTTGTTCCATAGCTATAATGGCGCATCTGAATTATTTGCTTTCGTCATACCTAATCTCCAGCATCTGGGTGCTAATGGGCTATTCCAGGTGATCCGACGGGACAATTCCAGAAATTTTGCATGTTTGTATAGTTAAAAAATATACCGTGACACTACTGGATGGCAATTACATCATGCCGAAACGTTTTTCAATGTGTTGTGTTGTAAACTGTCGCTATGGTGAAGCCCGAGCTGAAGCACACCTCTATGTGTTGTTCAAGTAACCTAATGTAACACTGTAGATCCGTGCTAATAATGGGCACAATGTATGTGACACTACGGGATGTGACAATACGGGACATTTGTCCATCTTGGAACAGCGGCCTCTTCTCTTAAATTCAGGAAATAAATCAATTAGGTGATGACATGTCCTACAGCACTTCAAACACCTAAGCTTCATTAACTTAATTCCAGTGCATCTATTTGAAATGAAATAACTGTACCAGGCAATCAAATCAAATTTGTGTTCGATTCATCACAAAACATGTCGATTATATGAAATTTCAATATTTCATGCCACTTTGTTTAAATTATTAAAAACCTGGGTAAAATTTAAACTTTTTCGGTGAAATGAATGCAGTGCAATAGAATTCAAGTGTCTTTTGATATAAAAATACAAAACAATAACTTACACTAAACTTTCAACAATTGCTTGGAATGGCCTTAATAGTTGTCCAATTATGAAAAATCAAGTTTATTTTTGTTTTAATAAAGACTTGATGAATATTTTTACGAATCACTTCCATATTTTATTTTTAAAATTTGTGAAAATTGTATTATATGTATTTATTGCGTTTAGAATGAAATCATTGCTTCATCCATATGCACTGGTAACTATAGCACGGTATTGCCCTTTTTAAAATTAGTTTTTGAGTGCCAACATAGAGATATGGAACACGGGCACTAAACTCAACCGTTTCATTTATTTTTAATCAGATTTCATCTTGGAAGTTGACACATTGAACTCTGAAATTGCAAATCTCAATTTTATTGATGTTTTATGATGGGCACCAATTATCTTTGTCGAATACCTCCTTGATAAGATTTCAAGCTTTCAACAAATCCCAATTTCTAAAGCCAGGTAGAAAAAATAACAAAGATCTCCATAATCTCATTATAATTGTGCTTTTTTCAGCGGGTCAATTACAGACATCTCTTAAAAAGGCAAAGTCGGAAAAAGCAGCCCTAAAAAAAGAAAAACTGAAGATGAAATCAGAGTTAGAAATATGCAAAAACAAGATAACAGGTATACACAATGCATGCATTTCTAAGCTTATATGTATAAAGGATGTTTGGGATCAAACCATTTTGACTTATACCACCTAATGAAGTAGAAAGAATATATACAGGATCTTCAGGAACTTAGTTGTTTTGTACAGAACGTAATACATCTGTTTTGCACGAAAGCTGAATATAAATTGAATATCTGTGTTATCGTATGCGATTTTCGAAGTGCTTTCCTGTTGGAATTATGACATGGAATTTGTGGTCGTTGTTACGGTATTTTAATAAACAACGATATAATGCTTTATATCCTTGAAAAAGGAATTTCCAAAGACATGTGAAGATGCTCGTCAAACAGAAGATTCAAGTGGGAATATGGTGAAGATTTTTCTTCTCGGTGTTGAAAGAACAAATGTCAGATGCGATTTTCACACTGACAAAGGGAATTGGTTGGTGAGTTTAAGCTAAAGTATTTTTTACAATTATTCGGTACTTAGTGTTCAAAGATATCTTATGAATGTAAATTAGGGTGACCAAAAAAATACTATTGGTAAAATTGGCCACATACGAAAAGAAAGCAATAAAATCTGAATATTGCAATTTCAGGTAATTCTTCGGCGTGCAGATGGTTCGGTTGATTTTGATAGAAATTGGAACGATTACGTCGGAGGATTCGGCGATCTTAAAACCGAGTTTTGGTTTGGTATGTTAATAATATGATATTATTGTTCGTATGCGTGTGAATAGGGAAAGAGTTTATTTCAAGAGCATTCTATTCATTATGCCACTACCGAATGCCAAACAGCTTCCATTTGTTGAGAAGCGAGAAGTTTTTCCTAAATGCTATGGTTGTCGAGGTTTTTCTTGTTGTTCTTTAGAAAAAATTTTTTTTCTTAAACAATTGATAAATTACAAATTTTTTACTAACGTATTATCCCAAAACGATATAGGGCTGAACATTTTACCCAAAATTTGTTTTTCCTTATTCATGATAACGTCAGTTACTTGTTCCAATTTATAGCTCCATATGCATATAAGAAATGAAAGTGGTATAAACTTACAGTCCTGAAATACCCCAATATATCAATCACGAAGGTATAATGGGTACTTTTTTAACAAGGTTTATTACCTATTCCTTGTGTATCAAGATTACAAGATTCCTTTGCTCCGAGAAACCTCGTAATTAAATTTACCGATCGCCTCAATTAATAAAAATTGTTCATTCAGGAAAATTTGATCATTTTCCCATTAATTAATCAAATTAAACTTTGTTCTAGGTTTGGACAAGTTACATCGACTTACATCAAGTCAAACGTATAAACTTCGAATCGATATGAAAAACTTCAACGGAGAGAAGAGTTTCGAATTAATGCTTTATATGAATATGCACGCCCTATATTCCGCTGGTATATTTATTCAAACAATTAAATTGATTTTCAGAAAATCCTATTTTTTGATCAGTTTTTTCAAAGATACTAACATTTTAGGTCGACGAGTTAATAATAGAAACAATCTATATGAAAAGAAAAAAGTTTTATTTCACTTTCGTTTTCGTTCAAAAATAAATTATATTTAATATATTCCGGAATTATCAATACTTAGATTTGAACAGAATATGTCGATTGAAACAATGCCTATTCAAACTCATTGAAATATATTGACTTCATATAATATTGAGTTCTATTCAAATATCATTATTTTTTAGGAAATTCCAGATTGCCTCATCTTCTGAAAGTACAAGCTGCAATTGGAGAATACGCTGGAGACGTAGGAGATTCGTTTGGGCGACACGATCAAAAACTGTTCTCAACTAAGATTATGATAATGGGGATAATATTCTGGTAACTGCGCTGAATTTTTAAGGCGAGGATGGTGGTTTCATACCTGCCGTTACTGCCATTTGACTGGACCGTATGTCAAACATGAAGTAGTATTGGTAAAAACGTTCCGGTAATACTGTGGGGGTTGTGGATAAATCAAAGAAGAATTCAACTCAATTAAGTTTTCGTTGAAATAAAATTAGATTTGTGGAATGAAACTAAGTTAATGCAGTGTTAGTTAGTTGACATAAAGCGGATCTGAAAAATCTTGGTATAAGCAGGCTAGACTTTTAGGTATATACTTTGCAGCCATTTCGACAAAGTATTATTTGAAACAAAAATGTAAATACCCCACAAAACAATTTGTAATTAATAAAATGTAACGGTTCCAGAAGAAATATTAATGCATTCAATAAATTTGAATTGGGTGGATTTTGCAGTAGCAAAAAAGTTATTGCTATTGATCACAAATCAATAATTTAAAAACACTCGACAAAATAATTCAAAACTTTTTGGCACATCTAAAATGATATATATATATATATGTTGAAGCCATGTTTAGATAATGACAATAATAGGTATCCAATTTATGTGAAAAAGGTTATTAGTACCAGCCTGAAATCAAGCAAAATGGATTATCATGGCAAACGCAAAACACCTCTTATATTGTAATATGCAGCTGGTGACTTCGTATACAATGACAGAATGAGTTTGGGAAAAAATTATCAAGATCAGTAGAACTCCATCATAAAACACTAATTAATTGAAGTTAAAATATGTGTGTTTAATTTTTTTTTTCATACAAACGTCACAATTTCAATCACCCATCAGTCAATTTATATTCTTGCTTACTGCTTTGATCACACAGCATAAATCCTCACACTGCAACTTTTTTATGATCCGAAAATACACATATCTCTTATCAAAATTTACATTCCTTGACAAATCATTACTGTATTGGGTACCTATAGGAACATTTAAACTTACTCTTTTTTATGCTGAACAATCGTAGCACAAAGCGGCTCTCTACTAGACTACATCTACTCATGGGAGCTTTAAAGTGAATTTAAAATCTTACTGTCAATGTGCTTTCGAGTGCTCAACCGATCCTAGGGCCTTCCCACTCAATTGATTGTTCCTCTATTTTGTTTTGTAATCTGCATTCTATCAGTTCTATAGTCAAGTATATCGTGTAATAATCCATGTGCACAACTAACTTGAATATATATTTTTTTTTGATAATGGAATTATATAATAAAATATAACCAAAAGTATATAATCAATCGAGCAATCATAAGATAAATAATCCAATATTCATTTTTCATATGTCCATTCCATCAGTGTTTGAGGACGAGGTGTTGATCGCATCGGCATACAATTCATCAATTTTTAGTATATTGAATTATATTATGTACAATAAAAGTAAAAAATTAAATATATTAGACATGTTCATTTTTATACATATTAAATTTATACACACTTGATTTATAGTTCAAATACAATTCCTTAGTATTTCAAATTCTCTGACAAAATTTGGTGATTTTCTATTTTTTTCAATGTTGAGTCTTTTAGTGATTGCAGTTTTTATTTGTTTGATAACTAAGTGCTGATAAGGGGGACTATCTTCGAATATAACAGAATTTCTTTGTATTCATATTTTATATCTAGTGATTGAAATTAAACAAACACTAATATCTAAATCTCGTCTTGTAATGTTGGAATGTAACAAATAGCTTAAATCCAATAAAACACAATATTCATAATCTTTCAAAAGTCTGGCATTATTTAATTTCCTAACAGTATTTTCTATAAAATCATAAAAACATAATCAAAAGATTCACAACTCATAAATAGATGGCTAACAAATTCTGGTTCTTTTCCACATAACACACACATATCATTTCCTGCAATATTTCTTATTCCAGGTTTTGTTTTTACTGGTAAAATATCCCACATTAACTTGAAATTAAAGGTTTTCATATAGTTTGCCAGAATATTATTATGAATATTCTCAAATGCAATATTTAAATTACAATTGCGTAGAAAAATTAATCTATCTCCAGTAATAGAAATAACATTTTTTTTTATAAGTAGTTTTATGCATACCTTCTTTTATATCTGTACTACTTATGTTATGTTTTCTCAAAAATTCTAATATTAATCTATACTCATTTTGAGGACAAAATCTATGTAAACATGTATTTTTAGTACTAATCCCCCAAAATGTAATAAGTTGTTGTCCAATATTGTATTCAACAAAGGACATACAAATATGTTTGTAGTCCTCATTATAATCACCTTCTCTAGCTTTATAATAATCCAAGACACTAATTATATACATGCACATTGTAAAAATGGGTATGTTAATAATATCATAACCCCCAAATTTTTTGGTTTGCACAAATTCCCTATTTTCAGTATGCTTGTTCCATTGAATACAAATTTTTCCACCATGTCATTCACCCTTTTTCTTATAGTATTCGGCATCGGAAATACTTTTGATAAATATAGAAACTGCGGCAACACCTTTAATTTTACTAATATATATTTGCCTTCTAAAGTCATCTCGATATCCTGTAATTCTCTTACTTATTTATCTCTTACTTATTTATCTACTTATTTATCTTCTACTTATTTATAAGTCACTCACTCAATCTTGATCCGAGACAGCGCCCTCTAAACACAGAAAAACGCAGGAAGTCGCACGATGATTTCCGAAGCATTATTAATCTGTCAGAACCAAGTCAAGCGTGTTGGGAATTCAACATCGGGAGAAATTTCCGGAGTTACACGGGGTTGGTTAAAGCTATACAAACCATCAAATTACGCACTCAGAAGACGTATTTGTGATCGACCAGTGTGCGACCACGGCCTTTCAAGCCTTGAACATCGTTTCTGCTGCGTCGAGACTAGAGCATACGCTGCTATGCGTGGAAAAATTGGGCTTCTAATTGCATACTGACCGTCATACACTTTTTACAACACGGTTATCTCTGTATTTTGAACAAAACTCGTCAAATTATAAACAAAGCACCGCATCACAGCAATCAAACAGACAAAAACACGGTGGTCACAAATTAGTCGACAAAGATATTATCGACGTATTGGAAATGCGCATCCCCCTATTCCCCCTCCTGACCAATTGCTTTAAAATTTTCAGTGGTTAAAGATAGATTTTTCTCCAGAAGGCTATCACTTTTATTTTTGCCATGAAGTCATCAAAGTTATGTGGCGCTACGTGTCCATATATTTGAGCATAGCTCTCTTGTTTTACTGACAGAATAGAAGCATACTTTCTGATACTGTTTAGGCTGGTTGCAGAAAATCACTCGAAGGAATTATATTCTCGGGTCATAACATTATTATTTAGTTATTATACCTGTTGGAATATATTACCAACCAAAAAGATAGAAAGCCAGTGAACAATTTGGAATACCCAAGCACTATGCCACCTCGCTAGTTGCTTCAGCAAACTGTGACACTAGTCAATTAAGTGACATTAGTGATGTAGCAAAATGTCGAAAAGATTCTGTAGTTATTTTTATGACGAAACAACACCAAACCAAATGCGATTTTTTGATTACCCTTCAGCAAAGGCAACGCAGGCCACAGATAATGACGCCGCGGGCCACATGTGGCCCGCGGGCCTGGGTTTGGGCCACCCTGAACTAGATGTTTTTAGTCAAGCCAAAAGTGACAGCGCTGGTTGGCACCGTCTGACTTGTATCCAGTGTATTTATTGCGCTAGGAGTTGTTTATCGTGTTCAGTATTGGGTTTAATATTTGAAGTTTGCGGATAGGATAAAAAACGATTCGGATTGACGTTATTAATTGGGTTTAAAATTAAGGGTTCACAATGGGGTTGTAATATAAAGTAGGAATGCAGGTTAGGGTTGTATTATTGTCCAAATAGATAACTGCTGTTTCTTTTATTTAGTCACATAAGTTAATTTGGATTATAATTTGTTGAATTGAGTTGCCCGGAGATCCTAACATCCGGTATGTAAATATTGTTTTATCTTGTATTATTTATTCTGTATTTTATTATTGTGAATGCTATTTTATCATATGTGATTTAATCTGTACATTTTTGTGACATATGGTTATGTGCTAATTGCTGTGAATTGTTATTGCTTGTAAGATGGTAATGCTGTTATATTTGATTAACCCTGCTAAAACGCTTAAAAACAGTGAAAACCCGTCTAATAACCCTGTTAATTGTGCCATATAAGCTATTTAGTTTTATCTATTATTTTGGCAGAAAACCGTTCCGAATTATACTGAGAATGGAACTTATGGACAGATTCATCTCCAAAAATTGTCATAATGTTAAAAAGGTAAGATAAAGTTTGTAATATGCAATCACGAAGATGAAAACTGGAAAGCGTTATTTCATACAATATCATTCATCAGTAGATTACTAAGTTTTGATTATGGTGCACACTTACGTACAAAGCGTTTCGATATCAGTCGTTAATACAGGGCCATAATTAATATAGGAGTACAGAAACAACTTTTGCATACTTTTTGACAATAACTGTAATCAAATTATTATTTCACATGTATTATTCTACACATAAATGCAAATCCCCATTCTGCGTAAGCCTCTTCAACTAGCTAACAAAAGTAAAGCATTTAATTAGGAATTTCTTTGTTTTTACTTCTGATTATGGTGTTGAAATCTTAATACTAATACGAGACTTTCCACCACTGCTCTTTTACGTAGGAACATGTAATCTTCCCTATAATATTCTGAAAGTGTGAGTATTTAGATAGTTCTACAACTCTATTGTTGTTAGCAAGCCTTTGGATGAGCGATCGTTATTCAAATTTAAAATATAAAAACTTCTACATCAATTTCAAACTCAACACTTTGTTGTCAGCATTCCCGGGCCAAAATGCATGTTACGATATATGTAGCTTTATTTTACAGCTGCAAATAAAGAAAGAGATCTACAACTGAAAGACAGCAGAAATGCTGCAATCACAAGAAGAATACAGAAACTTGGAGCCAATAAAACTAGATTGGAAGAACGATCAAGGCAACTACAAGAACATGGTGTTTGTGTAATCGTAAATATAGCCAGTTTAATGCGATAATTTTACGTTTCGGTACAGAAGAAACTATAGCATGAAGTTTCCTATCTATTCATATTTAAGATGTTGATTAAAAAATAGGAAAATAGGACATTAATTTTTTTCAAACTTTTTTTCATCAATAGTGTTGAAGAATAGAAGAGATCTTGAAAGAAAAGAAAATTCAATCACAAACATTACAAGAAGGTTTACAAGCAGCTGAAAGACGAAATCATGGAGGGAAATGAAGGTAGGCCTGACATTCGGAAATTTCGTAATTCTCCGCTTTGTAATTTTGCTTGCCCTAGTGTTCTTTTCCGGAAAGAAAATTCTGCAGTGTGATTTTTGTACATGTAACGTTTTACACATTTGTACGGTTTTTCGGCGCTCCCGAAGTATGTGCACCAAGTTGCCGCACAACTGAACCCTAACCTAATACAACTAACTACTATGTTCAGGTTGTGCGCCATCTTGGTGCACATGCTTCTGGAGGCCCGATTTTTCATCAATGAATTCATCCATCGTCGAATGTAGAGTTTGCCATATTAACTACAAATACGATGTCGTAAGCCCCGTTTTTTATAAAATGTTCTCCGCATTATTCACAAGTATACGGCTTTTCGCTAGTGGGCATTGGATTACGATTTGCTATATTTCACGCTTACTTCACTGTCACCAGATTGCTTGTAATAATATTAGCGTGAATACCCGCACCTGAATTTCATGATCATATTAAACGTTCAGGACCAGTTCGGTCGCTCTTCTACGTGGGCGTAATGTAAATAAATATGAAACATAGTCAATATCAAAAAGCCAACATGCAGGACAGGTATAGTCGTAGTGACAAACCTCTGGTTTAGTTTGTTATTTCATACGGTACTCCCCGTAAATATAAGGTATAGTAGTTTCAAAACTCTTGGATTCATACTTTTTTAATTAGACATTAGAACCTTGGGTGTCACTGCTCGATAACCAGTTTGGCAGTAAAACTGTGTGATTTATATTTTTGTCGTAATTCATGATTGTGATATTTTTTTACTGGTTGGAAAAAATAAACTTGACTTGACTATACTAATGATCATACAAACTACCACATAACTGCACAAGAGATTTAAAGTTCTTATGCGAGCATTTTCCATTTTAAAAGATTTTGTACGAGTTATTTTTGTGTGGTAAACTCATTTCTTTATTTCAAATTGAAACGCCGTCGTACACTGTAAAAAAATCTTTTCAAAAACAAATTTCAACTTTGTATTTTATTGAAAAATTCATTGATGGCATTATATTATGACGCCATTTTTATATTATTATTGGAGGCCCGCCTCAACGAGATGTACGTCACTCACTACCTGCCAACCTAATGTTTTGTTTGGTTCTTACAGATCAATGTCTGTAAAATACTAAATTTTGTACGCATGTTGGCTGGGATTAAGTAAATTCATCACGCTGAGCAAAGTAGACATCATCCTTTTTATTTTCTCACTGGCTAAAACTTTTGCGGACTCAATGTGCGTTTATTGCAACCGTACTCTGTGTGAAAAAGTAATAAAACCAAACACAAAAGAATTTTAACGAATTTCAAAATCGGAAATTCGCCACAATTACGCGTTCGTTAAAAGAGCCGAATTTTTTAGTGCATTATGACCTTTTCTGTCGCACAATAATCAATCCATGACAACGACGAGAATTTAAAATGCCCTTCTATTTTTATTTAATTGTGTTCATGGTAACTCGCGGTTGCGTCGACTTACGACAAGGTGAAAGCATTACTTCTTTAAAATGGCACGGCAATCTGCGACTATAATGATGTGAGAATATATTGTCCGAATATATTTAGTTTGGACACATATATTTTGCGAGCTTGCGAATTTGTTATCGCCGTTAGAAAAATCCTACTATCTGCTATAAATTTTCAGAAAGTACAATTTGATTTAGCACCTATTAAAAATATATTTAAAGTATATCAGTAAATCAAAAATACATATTCATCGCCCTGCCTTTTTATTAATTTGATTGTGATCATTTTAATCTGCGGGTGTGTTGACGAAATAAAAGCAATACTACTCAGAAAATATCATGACAATGCGTGGACATTGATTGTGATCATTTTATTCTGCGGGTGTGTTGACGAAATAAAAGCAATACTACTCAGAAAATATCATGACAATGCGTGGACATAAACATGCGTGGTAAAGTGCCTGATTATATTTTGTTTTGATTCGTATTTTTGTGAATTCGACAAATCTGAGCTGTTCGTACAACACTTACGGCGCTCCAGTACTGTGCGTACCAATGTGGAGGCAGTAAAGCAAGGAATCCCAAGGGAAAATGCCCTGGTACCTATACTACGGTAGCACCCGAAATTTTGCGATTCGTCATGTCTAAAAAAGCGTTTTAAATCACTCGCGAACCATAATAAGACAAAACTTAAGGTGTTATCCGTTTTATTCTTAGTTTTGCCGCTTTTTTATTTAGAAAACTTGTGTTGCCACCGTTGACACTTAGCATCAGAAAAAAATTTATTCCTTGTTGTTCGAACTCGCAAAACACCATTTAGGTATCTATCGAAGCGTGTTCAGAATCGTATTTCAGTCGGAAATCCGCAAGTGAGTTCTGAAATCCGATCGTTTGATTAAGCGACGCGCAAGTGACACGTCGCGTCACCTGTTACCAAATTTTCGAGTAGTAAATTTATATTCTAGTAGTTGAATTTTCGAATATATGACCAGCCCTACTCAGTGACCAGTAATTATTGACTCGATTAATGGTATGTGAATAAACTTGCTTTTTATGTTTTATGTAAATTCTAACGTTAATCGTAATTTGGCTGATATTTGTGTTTCGCAAAAACGTTTGCGACCCGCAGTGAATTTCTGGCTCGTTGCGGACTCATTCAAACGCTCCGCGGACTCATTTGAGACCGCGGACTCGAGCTGCCCTAGAGAGTGGCTCTGACACTGAGTTCAAACAAATTTGCAAAATAAACAAAAACAACAGACAATAAGACTATTTTTTTACTCTGCGCACAGAGATTAATTCAAGTAATCAAGCAAGCAAGTAAAATTATCACACGTAAAATGAAATCGTTAAAACACATTCACTGTTTAACACACACCTATCACTCCCCAGTACAAGCAATGCAACAAAATATTGCAATGAATGATCCTGTGATTTAAAATCTGTTATTTACCGATTATTCAGTTGTTTTTTATATATGCTTTGATTTATGGCAAAACAAAAAATATGGGCATTTCGTAATAATGATTTTTCAAATAAAAGTATTGCGTATTATTCGTGATAAAGTATTTTTTAGGGTAAATATGTTATCTCCTTTGGTTAATAATTATACCAAGTATTTTTTTCAAGTCGCGATGGCCACATCTAGTGTACACTAAAAACGATTGCATGTAAAGTACTCAGTTTCATTCCACAGGTCTAATTTTCACTTCGACGATCTTAAGTCGGTAGAATTCATCATCTGATTTTCTCCACGACATCCATTTTATTCCCGGAGCGCCTCTACCAACTACTTCCTGTTCGACATACGGTCCATTCAAATGACAGTAATGGCAGGTATGAAACCACCATCCTCCCTTGTGATGTTTGGCGCAGTTGTAACCATTAAAGTTATCATGATCTTTAGTTGAAAACGGTTTTTGATCGTGGTAACTAAAGGAATCTCCTGCATCTCCTGAGTATTCGCCAATTGTCAGCTTGTACTTTTCAGATGATGATGCAATCTCGAATTTTCTAAAAAAAAAAATGATTAGAGATAAAAAAGTGAATGGAATTGCCTGATTTGAGATTGTTTCGATATGGTATCGACATATTCAGTCAAATCTAAGTACTGATAAACTGAGATAAATTAAATGAAATAATTCTTATTATAAATGAAAGGGTAGTAAACTGTTTTTTATATTAGCTTTTTTTTTATTCGACCTATCAGTTTGTAAATCCGTCGACTAAGATGTTGTATCTCCCAAATACCGATGAATTTGCAGAAAAACCAATATAATCGCTGAATAAATATACCAGCGGAATAGCGGACGTTTATATCCATTCAATAAAAAGCATTAATGCACCCATATTTAGCGAATTTCTTTTCTCCGTTGAAGTTTTCCATATCGATTCGAAGTTCATAAGTTTGACTCGATGTAAGGTGATGTAACTTGTCCAAACCTAGAACAAAGTTTAATTTGTTTTAATTTATGGGAAAATATCAAATTTGAGTCCTAGAGTATACGACATTAGGAGTTTTCATACAAGGTAAACTATATTGAAAATGGCGATCGGTAAATTTTATTAAGAGGTTTCTCAAAGCAACGGAAATTATCATCTTAAAACATATGTAAGTTACTTATGAAATTCAGATTTATAGGTAATAAGCTCTGGTAAAAAAAGATCAAGTATACCATAGGGAGTGATATATTGCAGCACTTGCGGACAGTAAGTTTCCACCACTTTTATCTTTCATATGTATATTGTAAATTCGAGGAATATCTAACATTCGTATGAATAAAATGCTCATATACTAAACCCTATCCCTATTAACTTCCGTACAAACTATTACAGCATATTATTAACATACCAAACCAAAACTCAGTTTCAAGATCGCCGAATCCATTTATGTAATTGTTCCAATTTCTATCAAAATCGACTGAACCATCTGCACGTCGGAGAATTACCTGAAATACAATGTTCATATGTTAATGCTGTCTTGAAATTTACTTCCAAATGCGTATGTCTCCAACGTTACCAATAGAATTTTATTTGTCACATCAATTTACATTCAAAAGATATCTTTGAACACTAAGTACCGAATAACTGCAAGAAAGACTTCAGCTTACCAACCAATTCCCTTCGTCAGTGTGGAAATTGCATCTGACACTTGTCCTTTCAAAACCGAGAATAAAAATCTTCACCATATTCCCACTTGAATCTTCTGTTTGACGCGCATCTTTGCATGTTTTTGGAAATTCCTTTTTCAAGACTATAAAGCATTTTGTCGTTATTTATTGAAATTTTTTTAGAGCAACTAAAAGTTTCTTGACTTCTTTTTCATAATTGAAATAATAAAAATACAGCCTTATTTGCATAAAATTTACCTCTTACAGCCCAACAATTGACTATACTATTAGCATCCGGGTACATGAGATTTTGTGTGAAACACTTAAAAGCATGAAAGATAAGCAGACATATTTCATCACAGGCTTTATGTGATGAGGACGGGGTAAATCTTGGAATATCGTAAACAACTTTTATATAAAAAGATATGAAAATTCACCGATTCAGGCCTACCTACTATTTTGCTTTTGCAATTCTCTAATTGCATTTGGATTTTCTGTTGTCCCATTCGTAAGACTGCATTTCCTGACTTTGTCTTTTCGAGTAAAGCCCGTAATTCTTCAGCTAAGAAAAGAACAAGAATAACAAAATGTACGTCATCTGATCGAAGAGGAATTTGTCAAGAACAATTTATGATAATTACAACATATCATTAAATATAACAGACGAATACTCACAATTATTCTGGAGTTCTGTAATTTCAGAGTTCAATGTGGCAACTTTCAAAATGAAATCTAAATGGAAATGAAATGGAACGGTTGAATTTTGTGCCCGTGTCTAATATCTCTATGTTGACACCCAAAAACAAATTAAATATTTATTTAAATATCGTACTGTAATTATCAGTGGGATCTTTGAATTAAAATTTTTTTTTAATTCTGCGGGAAAACTACTCACCCAACGATTTAACTAGAAAAATCCTCCACGGTACATTTCACAATTATTTAATACTCACATTTGAGCAAAACTAGAGCGTCTTCTGGAATTTAGATGTCGGAAATAACCATTATAAAAAATTAAATTAATTTTTTTGGTAGGGAGATGTACCTTGCATTGATATGTCCATAACATCTTGAACAGCGACCAGAAGAGCAATGCAAACAATAGCGTAACAGACAACGCGGTGACGAGAATCTGAAATATAGAATATTATAACTTGTACAGAGCAAAGCCTGTATATACCTAAGTTGGCCGTCATTTTCGATCGACGTTACGGCGGTCCTGCGTGATCCTCGGTTAGGCTGGTGCCTTCTGCCATAGAATTATAGGCTGCTCGGTGCCTAATTGCCGCGGGAATAGCAAAGAGTGCAACTATTGAATCTATCAGCAAATGCCGAGAGAGGAAACAAATGGGAAAATAATTGTAGCAGCTGGAAATCCGGTTCAGGCAGTTCTTAATTATTGTGAGGTTAGTCAAACGAATGTCCTAATGTCAAACTGACACCAGGAAAGACAGGCTACTAATCTGCAGGCTGTACATAGTTTTGGGATATTGTCACATTCAATTATTTATATCACGTTGCCGATTTGACTCATTTAAGTTAGCCCAGAAAAGTTATTTGAAGGTAAGTGAAACTACTAAGATTTCTAAACGCCGGCTTCAGGTGTCAGATTAGGAAAACTGTATTTAATAAATCATCCTAAGTGATGCAAGGTCAGAAATCAGTGCATTGAATGTATAAGATTCACTGTCATGTTTGTTTGGAGTCCTGCGGTTGCGACAATTTATATAATTAACAGCAATTTGAGTAGAGACAATTCGGAGTTTAGTTAGTGGATATAATGCTTTATATTTTGAATTTCTGAAGTGAATGTGTGTTTGGTTCAGTCACTGTCAATTATATTTTGTGGTAAAAATGGGATACCGAACACTTGTTATTTCAAATTATATTAACTCATTTCACTTTCAGAGTCATATTGAAGCATGCCAATTTGAACCGAAGAGGACGGATAAATGGAAAAAATTAAAATAAAATTCGATATCGACAATACTCGATGTTCCAAAGACAAGACTTAACTAAAATAATGACAGAGATGAAATTTCAAAAAAGAACAGTACAGTAAGTTGTGAACGCCAACATGATCTCTAATTGCCAGTTTGAATATAGGATAGGATTTACATATTTATCCCAAGGAAAGAGAAGAGTCGATAAGACTGCTCAATCATATGGCGGACCATAACCTCTCGCCTGGTTACCAGTCCATGTCGGGTATGGAATTAGTTAGTAATGTATTTGTTTCTCAGATGCCTGGACTTGAATTTGGTAAGACAATTTGAAGATGAAGTATGTTACAGACAAATTGTTATACTGACAAGCGAATAAAAGATTAGGATAATACACAAATGTGTCCAAGAGCCAGGAATTCTCAAAGGGACGAGTTCTGAAATTTGTAATTGCCACGTTAGACCAACAGTTAGCGGGTCCGGCTGGAAGCCAGAAAACGTGGGGTTTTGAGGGTCAAAAGCGTTTTAAGCTACAAATTATGCTATATATGATGCAGAAAATGCTTTTTTATATTTCAAACTTATAATGTTGGGTCATATACAGCACAATATTGTGAGACTGCTGCTTAAGCTTCAAGAACGACTTCAGAAGTACTATGGCGTCGGTGTATGCATATGATGTATTGTAGACTGTAGAGCAGGGCTACTCAACTGGCGGCCTGATTCCGGACCTTTCGAGTATTTGATTCGGACCGCACCTAATTCTTTATTTTAGATCTTTAACCCCGCTTTTGAAGTTTCCTTTTATAAAATGACTTTTGTAGTTTTGAATATATATGTAAAGAACTAAAACACCATAATAAACAATAATCATCACGCGACCCAGAAAGTGTATGCCGAAATAAAATTCCTGGAAAGACCGGATCCAAATAAAGGTTTTGTATGCTGATCTTCGATGAAAATAGTTGAGTAGCCCTGCTGTATGTGGAGGACGCACTTTGATGATTACTACTTTGCGCACAAAACCACCTCAATTACACTGTGTCAGTTTCACACACATTTTGTTACTGGCTTCTGATCAATATTTTCTGATGAACAGATACACATCGAAACTGAAGAAAAATGACATTATTTTTTAATTGTGATGTTGGGGGGATTCCCCCAAATCGTAAATTCTGCTACGTGTATTCTATCAAAAAAAAATCAGGATTAGATTAATACAAACATATTGTAAATAACTTTTTAGCAACTAGAATGACTCAAAACGAAAAAAAAACAAATGTTTTTGTTGTAGCCGGTTTCTCGAATAGGCACCTATATGTAATCACCAACGCTGTCCTGCCTCTGGTAAGGACGTTTACAATTCAATCATGCAGCGATAGCGTCCTATTTTTTTTATGTAACATTGACATCAATATTTAGCTATAGGACTGCCGTCAAATTCAGTACTTTTAAGTCATTTGGGCCTGTTGTAGTGTGAAACTGTGTGTCACTACTATCCTAATGAAAAAATCAACATGAAGGTTTTGTGGGGCCATCAGAAGTTTTACCAAACCTGGGACCCCGAAAGGCGAAATAGGATATTAAGAATGTGACAGAAGCCGAAAATAGCCCAAGCTCTTTTAGAATAGGGTTAACATATTTATTCCGGGGGAGAGGATAGTTGATAAGATGGCTTGATCATATGACGAACCACGGCCTCTCGTCCGGTTACCATTTCATGTCGAATATGGGATTAGTTATTTGTTTCCGGGGGCATGGACTTGATGGTGGGGGAAACCGTAACCGACCAGCGGTTATGGGAACCAAACTACGACGGCGAGGAGTCCAGCATTCCTCTCGCACATAACCATCCCAGCATGAGATTCGAACTTGCGAACCCACGCAAAGTAATCCGATGTGCGGTGGCGATCGTATTCCTAACGCTTAGCACGATGAGCCACACCGCAGCGTCTTGGTTGTCAGTAACTTTCGGGACAACCGTGGCCCAGCCCGGGACGCGACACGCCAGACGTCAATCGCGGTACTGTCCCGGACATTGCGGGGCGGTTGGAACCCCTAGCCTCAGTCTTGGATAATTTTAGATTTTATCCACTTACCCGATTTTCCGTAGGCTATATTTGTGCGTGTCTGTTGACTTGCATTGGCTATTTGTTTTAGTGTTACGGAAAAAATCCATACCTTACTACCCGTCTGTTGCGTCTATATTTTGTATGTTACCGAGCGGCATGGGTTGTTAATGTATATGCCCCATATTGGGTTCGATACTGATTGTGATGCCTTATCGGATTTCTGCGCTCTCGGAAGATAACTACTGATTTGAATCTGCCCCAATAGCCCTTTCAAACTACTAAAATTAGGCTTGTTTGCGTTACACTACTCAAGCCAAATGATCAAAAATGGCGTCCATATGACGTCAATAATGGAATAAGTTAGTTGCACGGCGTTGGTACAGAGAACAGCAATGACGAAAAATTCGTCTGCATATAATCTCAATTGAGAAATGTGCCGATAATGACATTTCTAGACTTATACGTGTCTGCTTTTCGTCAATAAATTATAACTTGGAGTAGATTTGAGTAAATGATTCATCACTGCTTCAGATGAGATAATGCTGAAAATATTTTTATGTATTTAGCTTGCAACTCAAAAAAGTTGGTTAGTTAAAGTAACTCCTACCCAATACAAGACTTACTTTTAACGTGTTCATTCTTTTGTCTCTCATATGCACGTAATCTTGTTGTAAAATTTACTATCGCCATGTTTTTATTCTGTAGATCTCTTTCTTTTCCAAGCACTGCAAAAAGATCATAACACGGATTGCGTGAGACACAGTAATAAAGTTGTTTATAAAGCAGTTGAAATGATAGGATTACACATATCGAGCTCATCGTATATATGACAAGCAAAAATCGTTAAAAAAATATACAGTACAGTGAGTACACCAATGACGTTTGTGGCGTTTCCTATCTCAAAGATCGCCATTAGAATCGTTTATTCGGGCAAACTTAAACAAGCTAATACAGTGTTCTTCATAAATTTGGAGCAAGTCATTCCGTAACAGTTGACATCAAATGAGTAATGCAACATTTAGTGAAACGTTATGAAAAAAAGTTTACTTTGATCTTGTTGCTGTCTCAATCTGGTTGTCAAATTGTCTTTGTCGCCTTCAAGTTGTTGAATCTGTCTTTCTCTTTCTGCAGCTGCAAGGTAAATAAATATCCGATGTGTATAAGTCAAAGCGGCGATCCAGAAGTATTTGAACCAAGATGGCGGACACCGGAACGTAGTATGTGTACCAGGTTAGGGTTACGACATAATTTTATTCCAATTTACCTTATTTTATTTCTATTACGAGTTCGGGGATTAGCCAAGTGACTCCCGTAGTATTTGTACCTGAAATTATGGCCTAACCCTGGTTTGTTACACATATTACGTTCCGGTGTCCGCCATCTTGGTTCACATATTTCGGGAGTACCGTCAAAGCAATGCAGTATATCCTAGTATAAACCATGTCCAAAGAGATATGACATCGAAAACTCGCACATTCCGATAAAAATCATTCAAATCAAGTGAATAGTAAGAAAAACTACAAATGTATTCACTTATTTCACGTTGCTGTTGTAATTGTTGCTCCAGCTCAAGTTTTTCTCTCTCGAGTTGTTGTCTTTCCAAATTATCTGCAACAGGGTTAGACTTTGTAGAATATTAGCTCATCTTTTCAATTTCAGATCTTTAACCATTTTTTGGGGGCGATAAATAAGAGAGGTCGTTTGAATTTTATGTTATTCTTGTTTTGCGCCTTTTGAATGGTAAATTGTGAGAACATATGATCCGCTAAATGTACGTACGCAAGAGATCGCAAGAGAGCTTCGTGAGTTATCAAGCAAGACGTGTGGTAAATATCAACGCATCGAAATTATAACTTCCCTTTTTTAAATATCAAATGGCGAATATGGCCAAAGTTTGCACTGGACTTCCGTTCAACTCACTTGAGATGTTTTCCTGAAAATTGACTTTTATTGCCTCGTCTTGAGCAGGCGGTGCATGAACCTCGATTTCTTGCCTAGGCCCGCCTGGAGGACGACGATCTAAATATACCAACAGTTTGCTATAAAAACCTCAAAGATTAAGCGCATTATATGTGTTGTATAAATTGTAATCAATCTAACACTCCTAAATTTACAGTACTGAGTTAACCCTTCTACCGGAACGCCCATATGGGTGTACTTTTTGATAAATTGTAAAATTTATGTACTTATAGAGTCAATATCGCTCTTAGCTGTTTATCGACGTAATGCCCTGATATGAGAGAAGCGATAAAACCTTCCAGCCGTGACGCAAAGTGCGAATCGTATAAATATCCTGGATTTCAAAATCACCTGTCAGACGTCTGAAAAATGTGACTCCCTTCAGACAGGAAATACTCCTTTATAACGACTTATTATTGTTTTAGCATGTATTTTCAGTCACACTAACTATCCCTGACCATCCCTGGCGCTGTGTTGTTTTGATAAATATGATTTCGAATGCTCCATAGTTGGCAGAGGTATGGAGATTTTTTGTATGTATAAAAACGTAAAATTAATGGTAATTTTAACGCGTAAATGCGCGTATGAGATTGGTTACGCCGTTCTACGCGCATTTCCGTCGAAAAAATTTAATTTTTTTGCATTGGGGGTGGTCTGTGCAGTAATAATAAGAGCTGTGACGTCATCAGTATCGGTAATTTGACCTTGAACTTGACAATACTGTAAATACAATTGTGAATTTCAGAGTGATAACCATTTATGCTATAATAGTCGTTTTGGTATTGTTGTTAGGAAAAACGTTGAAGAAAAAATTAATTAATTAGGAATTAATTATTAACCCTCTACTGTACACAGAATATCTCAAAGTCCAATTTTTTTTTTAGAAATTTTTGAAATTTTTTTGCAAAAATTTTTTTCGAGGGGTGTGTTTTAAAGATATATTGCTGAATAGAACTCTAGCAGACGCTTTTAAAAACCCATGAATAAAGCTTTAGGGATTAATGGTTGACATAAAAAAATAATTTTAAAAATACCCATAAAATGGGCAGGGCTTGAGGCTTAAAAAGGGTTAAAGTGTTGGAATAGTTAATGAATTAAAATAGGGTTTATGACATTATGAGCACTCATATAATAATAAGAAACTGAATTTATTTTATGCTGATACCACTGAAGTCAAAATAAACTTTTTTAACCTACCTGTATCATCTGGTACAGCTTTTGAAGGCAACTCACCGGATTCTAAAAAGACAAGTGCGTCTCAGAAACAGAATTCATTTAGTCCCGCAACGATGTTTTTTTTTTTCAGAATGACGTTATGTTGGAAGATAAATCCGTTCAAGCTTGCTCAGAGTTTAGGAAGTTCGTAATTAAATTGACAGTAAACAATATATAATATTTACCAAGTTTGAAAAGAGTTTAAACGGGTGTATCTTGATAAAAAAGCATAGTATTTTATTTTTTCAAATATTTGTAGCAAATCTCAGTTATCTACTTGAATGATGATTTTTTTAAATTGCTGTTTTTCATATAGGCACTACTTAATATCTACTTAGTCCTAATCTTTTAGTTGAAATTCACCAATATACGTACAAAGTTACACATGACAATTTATATAATTTGGCTATGTGCTTATAAAATATGTTTCTAATATGATTGGTTAGTAAGAGTTAATATCCTTTACGTATACGTCTTATCTTGGACGTATGTTGAAAACAAAAGCAACATGACACTATTGTGTCGTACTCAAGCATGGTCCATGCTTGTCCGAGTGTTTGTAATCACGGTAGCGCATCTTTTTTGCATATTTTCAATTCTACGGCCAGACTGGTCTTGTTTGAAAGGTTACGTAATGCTCTTTTTTGAGAGTATTTAATGTCTAGTTGATCTCGCTTGTGTTTATCATAGCATTCAGCAATATCAAATAAAAAATTTTTTTAATTTTTCTTTTTTCAACGCTACAGGGTAAAGAGAAACGCGTACGTGTTTCGAGAAACAGCTGGTATAGAGCCGCTAAATAGGCCTCCCTTTAAGATCTCAGTGAAGTTTCTCGGACGTTTAAAAAAAAAGTTATGACATTTTAGGAGGGGTATTCAAGAGGCTTAGAGGAAAGGCGGCATAAAACTTCTACCTTCAGAAACATACCTGACACTCGTTGAACTTCTTCATGTTTTTCTTTGATACTCTTTGATACGTCTTCATGTTTTTCTGCGTCACTTTCTGGTATGTGAACTGAAAGAAACGGGATAAAAATTATTTTCAATTTATGAGAAGTTAGGAAACTATTTTAATTTTCATTTTGAATTGAAAGAAAATTTTAAGAAGCATGAGTTATCAGTTGCAGAGTTATGAGTTGCATTTATTCAAGGAAGAAGTTGAAATGTACAGTGTGATTTTTGAATTCCCGTATTTCCGTGATTCTTGGGAAATATCCTAATATTAAATGAACAAATATTTTTTTCGATTCTGCAGGGTTTTCACTTCCTTTATTGCTTTTGTCGGCGTCATCCATTTTACCGTATTCCTTGTTTGCTAAAACTTCAAAATTTAAATGAATTCTAATAATAGGAGCTTCAACTGTTCAATTAGAATTAAAACGTTTCACATTTTTGAACACATATTCCAGCTTTAGTTGCCCGATCCAAAAACAGTTTAATAAATCACCTTAGTCATGCTCTGTAAACTCAACTAAAAAGGCTTGTGCAAGTTAGTCGATTTAAGTTGCTGAGGTAAATTGTTTAAATGGATTGTTTTAAATTTTGATTGCGACGAAACTACATGGCAAAACAACAGGGCATTAACTTTTATTACATATGATAAACAGAATGGTATTTTTCAAACCCAGTCCAGATAGGCTTTTTATTCAGGCACAAGCATAGTTAGTACTAGCTTGAGTTTTTTAGATTTGTTCGATTACGGCCCATAGTCGATTATGTTCTCTTCAAATGTTTTATAATTTTGAGGGGGGAATAGGCGAAGGTCGCGCCCCTACGCTGACGTTAAACAAAAGCCATTGTAATTCGATCTGGGCATACAGATACATACGACCCAAACTTGTCCTGCAATTGCCATGGCTACAATAGAAAGCGTGATATTTATATAACAGCGACATGAGTCAATAATACGTGTGATGGTTGGGGGGTCTGTACCGAATAACTTTGCTGTGTTGTTGTATATTGTATTATTGTTGCAATGCTTTTACTAATTTTCTCATGTTGGTGGTGGCAAGTATTCTTGCTAATTTTTAATGCACCTATTAAATTATGACTGGCCTATCCCGCAAATTTTATCTATTAGAACATTCTCATTCTAGATGACTATAATGTAAAGAAAGTTTTGAATTGATTTTTCCAACAGAGCAACGATGACACAATCGCTTACACTAATGACAAAAGCGTACACTGTTTATATCGCAAAATATATGATACAATCATTTACCTTGAGAACAATTTGTTTCAAATATTTATTCTATATTTTATTCTCTACACCAGCGTTTCTCAAACTGTGTGCCGCGGCACACTAGTATGTCCCGACAGATTCTCAGGTGTGCCGCAGAGCTTACAACGGATACAACGGAAAATCTTGTTAAACTTGAGTATCCATAATTAATTAGACTGATAATATTATTGCATTTGTCTTGTCGTTGTAAGAAGTGGGGTTATTCCGGCATAAGTGTTTTTCTATAGTTTACCTTTGCATGCGAGATGTGGAAGACCACAGAATTTTTTGTGCAACAAAAGTGAGCCATGAAAGAAAAGGGGCTAAGAACCACTGCACTATACATATAAACAAAACCCTCAACACCACAAGAAGCAAAATGATTTCTACGCAAGCATATAATACACAGTCACGCTGATAGATTCCCTATTGTATTGTGTGATATTTTTATACAGTTAACAGTGTTCTTTAAATATTTTCTATGATTAAGACAAGCACACGCATGGTTCATTAATGGCTTGGTCGTTAACATTCGTGTCGCTTACAGAGGATTGCTTCGTTCAATCTTTTTATTTTTTGAAAAACAGTCAGTGATAGGATAAAATATTAAGGCCGCGCCTCCATGTTAAACATAGGCAATGTAATTTGATCAGAGCATAGAAATATGTACGATCCAAACTTGGCATAATCACGTTTAGATATGAATATCTGATAGTTTTACTTATCTACCTAATATTTACTTATTTGAAAGTCGATCTACTAACTGGACAACAGCGCAGTATTTAAATCTTTATATAAGGAACTCAAATCTGATATCCGCAAACCGACCCAGAACAGATTGACGTTGCATAGAGAAATAAATTGCCTAGAAATCGATGGACCTTTTTACTCAGCGACACAAGGTAACACTAGCAATACCACACATTATGAATTCGACCGTTTCAAAACATGCCTCACTCACTATAAAAAGGCTCTTCTCTGATACGTTGACAATAAATGAATGCACTTTAGGTACACTTGCGACGCAAATCTGTGTGCAATGTTAACGTTTCCTGGCACAGTCTTTGATTGCGATGCTACGTTCAGAGGAGTATGCTGACCAAGATACATTATAAAATAAATTTGAAACAAAAAGGCTTTTAATTAACGGTGTACCGTATGCCCGTTGTATAGATACTGCTTTGAGACGAGTGAGATTGCTTTATTCAGCGCTTATTTTGTACTGTTGAAGAAGAGAGAGATGTAATAATGGGGATAAAGTCGCACCCCCACGTCGACGGAAAACAAAAAGCATTGTAAATCAATGGGATCATATAAATATGTATGGCTCATACTTGTATTTTGATTGCTTTGATTGTTTTAATGAACGATTTTTTCAAGCCAATAAAATATTGTGCTAGATTATAACGTGACGGTTCCATTACATTTGAACCCACGTACATTTGAACCCATGACAATTGCACCTGTATGCTATTGCACCTATGGAATTTTTTTTTGTTCCACGGATAGTTAAACCCATACTAACCCTAACCCATGGGTTTTAGCACCCGCATATAGATTGAACCCGTGGATATACACATGGGTTCAAATGTACATGGGTTCAAATGTACGGTCACCTAACGTAACAATTCATCCTAATATGACTTGATATATTATGATCATTGATATAACTGGTGCTTTTCATATGCTTTTTGACTCCAAAACCTTCAAACAACTCTCTACTTCCTCAAAATAAAAGCCATTAGTAAACACATTGTTGCCGAGAACCCGCGTAAAATTAACTAAGGTCGTTGTAAATAGTGTGTAACAGTAAGATACAATATAGCTGTATACGGGAAAAGCTGTCGCCACCGGGTGAGAAACGCATGATTGAAGTTAAATATCATGGCTATTGGATTACCGCCACAATCAAAGTCATGCTGTTTGTCCAAATTATATTTATATATATATTAGCATTAGATATCACCATCATACTTGAAACGAAAGTCAGGTAGGCAAGAGAGCGGTGCTCAAATATATGTGCACGGAATGCAGAATAAAGTTACTTTCCGTACCTACAATTACCGGTATCAAATATCCTCCTAGTTTCGCGTAGCGTCGTGTCAAATCGGAAACAGCCATCATGCTTGGCGGATTAAAAACCATGTTCCCATAAATAAAAGATAATGCAGAGGGATTTTAAATGAAATAACAGATTCATATAAAATTTAGAAATAAATAGAAGTCATAGCCTTATAGCAAAAATTGCAATCATTAACCACTGAACATTTCAAAGCAAATGGCTATTAGTTGAGGAGAAAGATGATTTTCTTCATACCGTAACTAGAAAAAAAAATACTAATAACAACAACAAAATAATAACAAAACGACCCATAGGTCCATTTAGTGTCCAATGAATTTCGAAACAATTTTTGACGTATAATTCAAGAAAAAATAAAACCGGGGCCGTAACAGATTTGACAGTTCGTACATCAAAAAAATAATTCTATTCACTAAAGAAGGCAGGCCGATGTAGGACTTGAATTAGGCATAATGTTATACATATCGTATAAAATTATTGCCTTTCACTGCCGTAGCAACTCGTGTTTTTGGTGTAAAATCTAATGCGCTTCTCTAGTGCAACTAGTGTTTTGAAATTGATCGGAAACTAGCAAATGACAACCTATCTTTGCTCTACCTTAGACTTGAAATTTTGAATGAATGCAGTTATATTGGCTGATGCAATGGATCTGGTGTGTTGGTGACCTAACTACGTGACATCGCAAAATTTCGGTTTCAAGCCCTCACTATGTGTACACAACGCCGAAGGTAAAAATTTTCGGTTCTTCTAAATTGAGAATATTGAAGTTTCGTTTTCTCGTCAATATAACAAAGTAAAAAACCTAATTTCGTTTAAACCGTACAGATTACCTCGCACAATTAACAAACCTTTTCTTTCATGTCCACTTTTGACTTTGTTTCCATTTCTTTTTGGTTCACTCATCCTGGATATGGCTTTCTGATAACTTGATCTAGGTTTGAACTAAAGCTAGATACCACATGATGTCGAATGTGAGTTACAGTGCAAGTTACAAGACATTTAGTTTTGGTTAAAATCATTCAATCCATAGGCGTAGCCAGGGGGGGCCAGAGGGGCCATGGCCCCCCCCAAAATTTTCAAGAATTCCATTCCTAATCCACCAGTTTTGTGGCTTCTTGTCTCGTCAAGCGTGTACACCGCAATACAGATCGTTATGACGCTACTAGCAACCACCGTTGAGGCTGAGCGGTCTTTCTCATGCATGAGACGGGTAAAGACATGGCTGCGCTCATCAATGACGTCCAATCGCCTTTCTGATTTGTGTGTGCTTCACTGTCACCGTGAAATGGTCACCGAGGAGAAAATTAATCGAGTTGTGTCGAGCATAGTTGGCGGGAAGCGAAGGATGGACTTTTAATTGGGGCGATGTATTTTACTTATTCAAATTGCGTTGTTAATATTTGTTGTTTCAAATAAAAAATTGTTTATTAATGGATTTTGTATTCACAAAAATCCAGCTGAGTAATTGAATCAGTTTGCTTGGTGACCAACTGTTGTTGTTTTGCGCTTGAAGAACGGTGTTTTAAACCCAATATAATTTCTAAAATTTTCAAATTTGGCCCCCCCCCAAAATTTTGGGCTGGCTACGCCACTGATTCAATCCCATGTTAAATGAACATAGCTTATTTACTCGCCTGTTCATTGCATTTTCTAAATCATCGACCAATTCTTATCTGTACTTCGACGGTTGAACTATCTATCCAGTGTCAACAAACAATTTTAGGATCTTTAGTACAAAGCCCATGCCACTAATGTAAAAATGTGAGATTTAAAAAAAAACACCCCCACCGAGGTATAGTATAACAAATTAGTAATTTCTCGGTTAGGATTAGGAAAGATTTGAATTTCCAGCGCATTTCTAACCCAAACCTTAATTGGATAATTATTGATTTTTCTATTTTGACCGTTGGCGGGGTGTTTTTGCGGTGGCTTTGTAGGAAACATCCCACTTTCTACCAAACCGCTGAGCCATTCAGCGAGGTTGCAAGTTTGAATCTTATGGGAAATCATTCCATAAAAATCGATCATTGTATTCTTCGACGTCGTACGCTTTTGTCACTAATGTGCGTGTCAGCAATATTACAGTAATGCGCCCATCTATTTCTACCCCTAGTTGATAGGGATGCGACGAATCCAAAAGGTTCGGCTGAGCCGAATTCGAGTATTTGGGCTGGACTAGTGTCCAGTCTCAAGTCTAACACTTTTATATAGCTGCGAAATAAATACCTAAAGCAGGGGTGCACAAGCTGCGACCATTCGGCCGAAGGTAAAATGTGTGGCCGTGCTGGTGTTTGAGTGCGTTAATGCAAATTAATTTATGTTGGCGCTTGACTGTTACGGAAATCATAGCGGAACTTGTGTGTGTAATGGAAATAAATTATTAGTATCATAATTAGGTAACAATTGTGAACATCCTTTCATATATTTGAAGAGGGATAATTTTTGAAAAAAAACGGTTTTTTAATTCCCGATGAAATTAGATTCCATTTTGCTTTTATGTAAAGAAGTTACTATTGTTCGAAACCTGGTAGCGATGACGCCACTCGTGGTAAGAGAAAGCTTATTCAGCGAGTAATGTTTTTTTATGTTGCTCAAAATATTTGAGCCATGACCGATACGAGAATTTAAAATGTCTTTCTATATATATTGATATAGTTGTGTTAGATGTAACTCGCGATGGCGTCGACATAAGACAAAATAAAAGCATCATCTCTACTGTAAAATGTCTGCGGACATGTTATGACGAAAAAGTGAATTCCAGAGATATACCAGAAAGTGAAAAACAAAATAAAATTGTCGATGAACGAGGCGGTTGGGCCAATTTCCGGTACAACCGATATATGAACCAGTCAACAAAATAACTCCTCCAGCGAATTCCATAGTCTGGGAAAATAAATATTCGATAAGATACACGTCTGTACTTTCCTGCTCTGAAATTAAAGGCTTTCACACTGGAGAGTTGATACTCAACGAAATACGAAAACAAGAGGAAACCTGGGGCATAAAATTGGACGCGATAGTGTCCGACAACGCATCCAACATTACCAAAGCCCTCGCTGATGGTAACATTTTCAGCATAAGATGTTTCGCCCATACTATGAATTTGGCGATCCGCGGAGGCGGCAAAATTTAACAGCTGGGATAGAACGTAATGTATATAAATGAGCACACACACATGAAATTCAAATTATTCTTTATTTATTTTCTGTTGTTTAAACTGTTACGCGACATCATCTCCTCACTGAATTTTGCTAGCAAAAGATTGTACGCGCTCGCCTGAAACAAATGAAAAGGCAGATAATTTACTGCCGCATGGAAATGGAATATTTGTAAAATGTTTTAAATCAAAACGTGGACGGCGGTGGCGGCTCTGAAATAGGTGCGTGAAACCTGAAAAACGATATTTGAAGGTCGCTATATTCGAATTGGACAACCCTTCTTCAAGCACTGAATTAACCTAAAAAATACAAATATCCCCACACGCGTTTTCGGATACCGGCCCTTTTCTATATCTAGAAACTCTTACGTTAGCTGGAGCAATATTCCTACGAGAATAATTTTTGTAAGTTGGATGTTTCGTATCTAGAGTCTTTCGTAGGTAAAGTTTCCATGTGCGGCCCGCGGATTCATCCTGTTACTTGTATCTGGCCCGCCTGTAAAAATGGGTTGCACACCCATGCTCTATAGATCAGCGTTTCCCAAACTGTGTTCCGCGAGATTCTTCTGAGTGTTCCGTAGAAAAGGGTTCAAAATTACGACTAAATTGGTCGCCATGACGATCTAGGCCCTAGGGAACCTGAGGTTATTGCCCTACATCGAGTCACCGTCGGCCTAAAACGGGCTAACTAGGGTAGGGTAGTGACAATTTCGTTAATCGTTGGCCTAGCTTTTTGACTGTTAGGTTCATTATCAAGTTTACAGCAATCCTTTTGATTTTGCTATAGGCAAACAAGTAGGTCCAAAGCAGGGGTCGGCAAACTGCGGGCCAAATGCGGCCCGCGAACTAATTTTTTGCGGCCCCCGAACGATCGGACTCAAAATGCACAAAACAAAAGTCGATCCTAAATTTTTTACTACCTCGGTGCCTCCCCACGGATTTATGTGGTAACAAGTGCTGCTGTACGGCGCTTATTTTGTAATCAGTAGCGTCAGTTCTTTAATATTTACTTAATGAACGTCGTTGGTTGTAATTATTGAAAAATGTTTGGAAAACGGTTTGCGACGAAGGTTGAACATTTCAAATTGCTGGGACGAGACGCTTCTCAAATCAGTTTCAAATCGCAGTTAGTTAGTTAGGGATTTGTTAAATTTCATTGAGAAACGTGCCATTGCAAATACGAAATTTGACCCGGGGCTGCCACACTGCTCATATGTTCTTTAGTGCAAAACGTATAATGTGCACGTTAGGAAGCACATATTGCTATGAGCAGCTCTATTTAAAATGCATCACACTAAGAATAAATTTTGAATTCGCTTGTCAGATCGTTATTCGGACGACGTACCGATGAGCAATGAAGTTGCCATTTGATTTTAATGCTTTGACCATGACACAGAAACAACATCACCCTTCATATTGATAGTGAGTAAATAGATATATAAAAACAATGCATTCATTGATAATATATTAAGACCAAATACAGGTCTCATTGTGGCAGGTTTTTCACGAAGCAATAGAAAGTGCGCCTTAATTTGACGTTTAATTTGGCGATTGTTCATGGGCGAAAATAATGCGACCCGCAAGCTACCGGAAATGTATAATTTCCGCCCTCAAGTACATAGCGTTCGCCGACCACTGGTCTAAAGAGTAAAGGCAAAGGTCAACTCTTCTTTCTCTATCTCTGCCTTATTTTACTTTAAAAAGCTGAAAAATCCTCCTGTTTGCTAAACTCGATTCAGCAGCTAAAATAATCTGCAGGTCTGAAGCTCGCAAAATTGCGGCTTCGTTCTTACATATATACAACATTTAAATTAAGAAACAATATAATATTTATAATGCAATATGTAAAATATTCGATTATATCTTAGAGGTGTGTTTAACACAGTTCTGTTAGTTTTCGCGGGCGCATTTTGCAACTCGCTACGGCAAAGCCATTGGGAACGTTACATAACACCCGTTTTTTCTTTTTTACATTTTCCCTCTTTCATTTTTTGGTGTTCTGCGAAGCGAGATGAAAAGTGTAATTGTTCCGTTGACGAAAAAGTTTGGAAACGCTGCTCTAGATATTCAAAGAACTGTGATAGACACTATAAGTGCAGAACGGAATATCGTTTCTTATTATCACCGATCCAACCGAAATGCCGAATCCTTCAATAAATATCAGAAGTGTTTAAGATCAGTGGAACATGCCTTAATCCAGGACGTGACCACCAGATGGAATTCACCTTTTATATGTTGAAAGGATATTGAAACAGAAGAAAGTCGTAATCGACATGTCATATAGTGGAATGGCACAGCTTTGATTGTAAATCAAGTATGGCAACAAGTATGTTGCGATTCTTTTACCATTACAGTATTTTTTGCCGGCTACTACGAATCTGCTAAAAAAAAAATCGAATCTTTTCTAAGTGACTCCGACATGTATGGAGTTGAGTCTTTCGTAGAAAGTTGGAAATTCCAGTTAGAGCGAAGATTTATCAGGCATTTATCAGGTCAGTTCAAGGAATCACGCAAACTCGTGCAGCCTTCTTCAAAAATCATGATATGTGCGATCGATGCCTCATAACAGCGATGCTTGACCCGCCCACAAAATCATCGTGATGGTGCAAAATGCCTTTGGCCGAAATAGAGCGAATATTAATACGGAATATTACTAGTGTTGGCGCCTTTGAACGCTCCGTCGAACAAGAGACTTTGTCTTCCTCTGAAGAACAAAAGGAAAGTGTGGTGTTCCAGAATATTGATCGTCCTAGTTCCCTTTCCGACTCAATGGATTGGGATAAACGCACCCATCTCTAC